CACACACACACACACACGGTCATTTTCTTGTGCTTCCAGAGTGGCAGGATCCTCGGGACTTGCTGTGCTGAGATGGCTGGGGTTTGGTGGGGTCCTATGGCCCTGGGTTTTGTTTCTGGTGTTCTTGCGATGACCTGTGGCCTTTGGTTATTAGCAGGCCTGGTGGTCTCTTGTAACAGGTCTCTGGGGTCTCTAGGTGCTCGTGGTCCCGATGGCTGCTTTCATGTTTTCCTGCTGCTCACCGTGTCCTACTTCCCCTGCACACCCCACACCAAGTTTCTCGGCCTGCTCCATTTCCCAGGACCCACCCTGATCTGCGGCACCCTGAAAACAGCATAGGTCAGGGAACAGCAGGTGACAGCCCCCCATCTACTGGCCTGCCACAGCCTGCAGCAGCAGGGGCCAGGGCTGCCCAGGGCCCGCTGTGCTCCACTTTCTCTGAGCGCCCCACACTCCAGTTCCCCGGCCTGTCCCGTTTCCCAGGACCCACCCCGACCTGCGACCCCCCTCTCCCTCAGACCAGCATGGATCAGGGAGCAGCAGTTCCCAGGACCCACCCCAATTGGGAGCCACAGCACACATAAGGAAGGGAGAAAACAACTTTTAGCAACTGAACGCAGGTCCTCAGGACTTGGTGGCAAGTGCTGGCCACTTGCCAGCCTGTCTCTTCTTTATAAAGTGCATGGTCCCAGCTAGTTCATGACCAGTAACAATGGCTAGGTTCATGTAGGCCCCCAACCTACCGCATCCCCCTGGGTTGTCTCTATAGACTAGGAGCCATCTTTCCAACGTGACCTAGAGCAGATCCTACCAGTTTTTGTTTTTTTCTTTTCCAAGGCACGTTTCTTTCTCTCTGTGTACCTAGAACTCACTCTATAGACCAGGCTGGCCTGGACTTGAACTCAGAGAGATCTGCCTGCCTCTGTCTCCTGAGTGCTGGGATTAAATGTGTACATCACCACTTCCTGGCCAGACCCTACCTCTTTTCTCTGGTCCCTGGGGTGTCTCCTCATCAAAGGCCAAGTCAGCTCAGCAGGGCCCCCTGCAGTTCCTACTCTTCCCTTCACTTATTCCTACCTCTCAGGGCTTTTGCACATAGGCTGGCCTGAGCCTGGGGTTCTTTTCCCTGCTGTGTCCACATAACTGGTTATTCCACCACTCAGAGACGTGGGAGAGTGTGGCCTCTCCTTTGTAAGTGGAAGCTGCTGCACCCTTTTGGTGGAAGGGTGTCTGGCACACTTGAACTATGCGCTAAATGTTTCCACAGATTCGAGAATGAAGACATGGACAAGGGCAGTGGTCCCTCTGACAACCCACCAGGAGTGGGAGCCCCTGGCTGCCCCTGCTTTCCCCTTCAAGGCACAGTGCATCCCAACCCCAGGTCTGGAGCTTGCCTTACCCTTGGCAATCTTGATATCCAGGGCGGTTCGGATCAGTGCCATGAGGGTGGAGTTGAAGTGGACTGTATTGTCATCTGCTACGGGCAGGTCCATCCGAAGAAGTCTCTATGGAAGACCCCGGGTGGAGACAGTTACTCTTGGGCCCTGCCAGCATCTTGCAATCTAAATTCACCTGACCCAGGGAGCCCCGGGAAGAACTCTGAAGTCCAGGCAACCTCCTCTTTGGTCACCATGCCAGCACAGAATTTCTCATTTCCCCTGCATGGTGCAACAAAAGGCTCTCCATGCTGCTGATCCCACCTTGCCCCCTTTATTTATTTTTTTTTTGAGGACACGGTCTTGCTAGTAGCCAATGCTGTCCTCGGAACTCATGACAATCCTCCTGCCTTGCCCTCCTGCGTAGCTGGAATGCCAGGGCCTGACACCATTCCCTGCCCAAGCTGTTTCTTTCAGTTTGAAATCCCACCTGTGGGACCTGAGGTGCAGGGGTCCAGAGCTGTTGCCCCAGATTCTTGCCCTGCCCCAGAGTTCTTCTCAAAAGCTCCCCTTCACTTCCACCCAAAGAGAAAGAGCAGAAGGCAGATGTCAGCAGCATGTGCGTGCAGCAGCCTTGCGGTGGGGTCCACGGCCACAGCCGCCGCTCCCTGCCCCCACCCCCGGCTCGGCCCAGAATGGGCAGATGATAGGCACCCAGCCGCAGCATTCCATCCTCAGAAGCGGCAGGCACCTCCCCACGCAGGCCCCTTGTGGACATGCAGCGAGGCCTACACAGAGCAGAACAAACGGGCACATGCAGACGGAATCTCGAGACTCATTCATAGCTCCGTGGGAAGTGACTGTTGGGGCTCGCCAGGTCATGGCTGTCTGTGCAGTAGTGGGGAGAGGGGATGAGGGGCGTTCCTGAGGCCCAGGGAAGGGATTCTGTGTCCCAGATGGGGGTCCTGTCCTGCTTGGTGGCTTGGGAAGGGGAAATGTTGGGCTTTGGTATGCCACAGGCTTGGGAGGATGTTAAGGGCACGCCTGGGGCTCACCAGGGGATTCACAGAGCAGGGAAACAGTAGGGAAGACAGTCAACCAAGGCTAAGGCAGGAGTGGGATGTTGGAGTGGGCAGGGAGGGAGGCCGCTGTGTGGGGCAGGTGTGTGCTACACAAAGGGCTCTGGAGCTTAGAAACCACAGACTACAGGGAGGAAAGTGTGTTCTCTGTAACACGCTTTCCCAGCAGTGTCCTGTAGAAAACATGCTCCTTTAAATGTACACAAAATTGCCTCAGGGAGCATGGTGGCTTCATATGTACGAGATTCAGGCTAGGCAGGACATTTGTGGGAAGAGGCTGAAATCTGAGAGGAGAGGGAAACAGCCACAATGGGCTTGGAATAGCACTGAAAGGAGAGGGAGATGGAGGTGGATGGGAAGGTCGGGATGAGGAGTCACTTCTGGGCCTTGGGGTTTGAAGGTCATCCCTGGCCAGCTCGAGGATGAACTGAGGGAGCAGATGTCCTCCAGGGCCGGGGGAGATTCCAGGACAGAAGTCTAGAGGAGCAGCAGTCTCCTCACTCCCTCAGCTGGCATACACCCCACCCACCCACGCCCAGGCCCCTCCAAGGCAGCGTGCAAGGCCTGATTTGGTGCACCGCGTTCGGGGTCGGGGCAGCTGCAGCCCTCCTGCTTGCTCTGAAACAATGGAGTGGAGAGGCATGTTGGGGCACCTTGGGTAGATGGGTGGCATGGTTCAGGCACTGGGGAGACATCTCCAGGGCAAAGGGAGGATGGGGTGCTCAGCTGTAGGAGGTGTCAGATCCCCCCCGGGCCCTAAGTCAGAGGTCAGCTTCAGATGTGTGTGTGAGGGCTTAAGGGAACAAGGTATAAAACACAGTCTGGCCTGGGCCTGGGTTGTGTTTCTGGATGGGCAGAGAAGTACAATTTGGCTCCCCAGGGGGGTCATATGGGTGCTGGGGCATTAGAGCAGTCCCTCCCCCTCCCCGTGGCTTGTTGGCCATAATGGAGTCTCAAAACACTTAGACACTCATCAGAAAGGACACAGTGCGCTGCTGAGAGTCAAGGGATGCTCATGACTCAGTTACTCGAGAAAAGAAAAAAGAAAAAAGAAGAGGAATGTTGGCAGAAGACTCGCTGGGTATTGTGGTTATCACCGAAAAATCCCGAGCTCTGGGACATCGGTGTTGGCAAAGATAGACTACCTTGTAAGCCACTCTGGCCGGGCACTTCTTCCCCAGACCCAGGGGCGGGGACATGTGTCTCAGCATCTGATACATGTCCGGGTAAGGCATGCGACCCCTGGCAGCACCAAAAACAAAAAACAGGAGGGGTGGGTGGGCAGAGAACCAAAAGGGTGAGGGGATGGGGGAGAGAAACAGAAAAAGAAGAAAAAAAAGAAGAAGAAAAAAAACCACACGAGCCGAAAAAATAGAGAAAGGCAGAGAACAATAAAATAGATATTTCAAATAAATGGAAAAGAGGAGAAAAATGGAAGAAAAGGTAATTAAAAATGATTATTTCACTGCTTACAAGCAGGCAGAGAGAGAGAGAGAGAGAAAAGAGAAACAGTCAGATTCCACCTGGGCTCCAAGCTGTGGCTCGGGTGGGCGAAGAGCTGGAGGGCCCTCCTGTTCAAGGGGCCAAGTGCTCTGGTTTAGCTGAGGCTGGTCTCTGAGGGGGCCTGGGTGAGTGTAGGAGCTAGCACAGGGCATGACGGGTGGGAAGGAGGGCTGGAGGCTTTGGGAGGTGGGGAGTGGTGAGGAGAGAGTGGGGGTAGGGAAATGCAAAATTACAACTCCCCCAAGGGATGCGTCTGATGTGGGGGTGTCATTGAGACCACGGGATGGGCAGCTTCAGCTAAGAGCAAGCACAGATGTTCAGAGGGAACAGAGGGGCACGTCCCATGCTTCGTGGAGTCTGCATGGCCGCATTCTGGAGGCTAAGAGTTTGCTAGTTTAATGCAAGAGAGAGATGGCTCTGTTTTTTGAGAAATATATATATATGAAATATATATATGGAAGACCCCAAGCCACACTCATTCAATCGATGCTAGCAGGTTTTAGTGGAAATCAAACCTTGCAAGCAACCCTATGAGGACATTTCTTGCCTAAGCCGAGAGGGGGCGATATTACTCGCAATAAACTGTACATGTCCTTATAGTGAATGCGGCCGCTGAAAGGAGAAGAGAGGGTTAGTGGAGGTCTGGGTTGCCCCTCGAGAAGGGCTCCCAAAGCACACAGTGAGAGCAGGGTGATGAGACCGAGGCCTCCTTATTTGAAAGCGTGGGAACCTTGGATAAGTAAGGGGTTAGATGTATTTACGGACACTTGGGCACCCCCCCTCCCCCCAGGGACAGAGGCTTTTATGGGGAAGGGGGACGTTGCAGGGTCTAGGCTCTCCACCCAGGATTCCTCTGCATCTCTGTCCTTTGCCAGCTACATGGGCTACACTGGTGTGGGTGGGTGTGTGGCCTAGAGGAGGGACAGCATCCCACTGTAGTGACCTAAAATCAAAAAGGAAGAGTTAAAAGGGCCCCAAACCCAGCTCCAGCCACATGCTTTGCCCAAGCCTGTCTGGCTCAAGGAGGGCTTGTCTGGGTGCAGCCGTGGGAGAGACAGACAGCTCTCTCTATTTCCTTGCGGGCCTCTCCTCCAGGGTTGAGGCCAGCGGAGGCAATGCACAGACTGTTCGTGCCTCCCCTCCTCTGCAGTAATGCTCCTGCTGGCTGCGCCCAGCAGGAGCTAGAATCCTGCCCCGGAGAGCTTCGCCCAGTCGCAGATGCTGTGACACCCCCCCCCCCCCCGCGCTTGCCAGCAGAGCGTGCGCTTGTGTGTGTGTGTGTGTGTGTGTGTGTATGTGTGTGTGTGTGTGTGATAGGGAAACTCAACCTTGCCATCATCAACAGGTTGCAAGCCCCACCCCTTCCTGTGTAATCTGCTCTAAGGCTTTTGTTTTGTTTTTCAAGGTGTGGGAGGTGGAACTAAGAGCCACAAATATGCTAGGCAAGAGTCTACCACCGGGTCACATCCTTGACATAGTTTTTTTAATAAAAATTTTTATTATTTACTTAGGTACATGTATGTGAATACCCAGAGGCCAGAGGAGGCCTAAGATCTCCCTGAGCTGGAGTTACAGACATGGTTAGCCACCATGTGGGTGCTGGGAACTGAACCTGGGTCCTCCACCAGGGCAGCAAGTGCTTTTAACCACTCAGTCATCTCTCTAGCCCTATATTTTTTATTTTAATTTTAAGAAAGGCTTATTTTCACCTTCTGACTTTTTTGTTTTAATTGTAGGTTTTGTTTTCTTTTTTGAGATAGGATTTCACCATCTGACCTTGGCTGTCCTGGAACTCACTATATAGGCTGAGAACTGAACCTAGGTGCTCTGAAAAGCAGCATATGACCTTAACCACTGAGCCATCTCTCCAGTCCCATTTTTTGATTAAGAAATTACATTTAGTGTATGTGATGGTTTGAATAGATATGGACCCTATAGACCGATGTATTTGAATGCTTGCCCATTGGGAGTGGCACTACTAGGAGATGTGGCCTTGTTGGAGAAAGTGTGTCACTGAGGAGGTGGGCTTTCAGGTTATATATGCCCAAGCTACATCAAGTCTCCCAGGATTCTCCTGCTGCCTGAGCATCAAGATGTGGAACTCTCGTCTCCTCCAGCACCATGTCTGCCTGCACGCTGCCATGTTCCCGCCATGATGATAATGGACTAAACCTGAACTGTAAGCCAGCCGCAATTAAATGTTTTTCTTTTTAAGAGTTGCCTTGGTCATTGTATCTCTTCACAGCAATCAAACCCTAACTAAGGCTGTGTGTGTGTGTGTGTGTGTGTGTGTGTGTGTGTGTGTGTGTGTGTGCAGGTGCGAGAACAACCTGTAGGAACGGCTTCTCACCATATGGGTGGTACCAGGGATTGAACTCAGGTAGCCAGGCCAGGTAGCAACCGCCTTGACACACTGAACCATCTTGCTAGCTCTAAAATTTTGTTTTGAAGTGGGGTAATGGATCTCAAACTCCTGATCCTCCTGCCTCAGTCTCCTAAAAGCTGAGATTATAATAGTACACCACCATGTTTGGCTCTTTTGTAAGCCTTATAATATAATGATAATTTAAATTATAATTTTTATTTATTTATAATTATTATATTTATATTATATATAATTTTTTTTTCTTGGTTTTGAAATAGGGTTTCTATGTGTAGCCCTGGCTATCCTGAAACTCTCTCTGTAGACCAGGCTAGCCTTGAATTCAGAGGCCTGCCTGCGTGCGCCTCCTGACTGCTGGAATTAAAGGTGTGCACCACTAAATCCAGCTCTTTTGTTTATTTGTTTGAAACAGTTTCATGTATCATATAGTTTTGGCTGGCCTAGAACTCACTCTACAGACCAAGTTGGCCTCAAATTCACAGAAATCCAACTGCTTCTTGTTTTCTGGAATTAAAGACATGTGCTACCATGTCCGGTTTATTCTGATTGTTTTTAAAGCAAGACCCTACACTCCTGATCCTCCTGCCACAGCCTTTTGAGTGCTGGGAATTCCTACATGTGCCACAATGCCCAGCCTACACTAAGTTTTGGGCTGGATTCTGCCACTCTGACACTCCCAGGTGGCTAGAGGCCAGAGGTTCTTAATGCAGGTTACCAGCCAGAGGCCTCACTGTAAGAGGTCAGAGGATTCGTGTGGGCCGGGGAGCCTTGAAAACCTTCATAGTTAAGCATCTCCATCTAGAAAGGCTTGGACAAGGGGCGTGCGACCTGGGGTCGTGTGAAAGTCACGATTCCCACCCTGGGACTCACTCACGAGGTCCCTGCTAAAACCCGAGGACTCGGTGTCCCACACCTGAGACCTGCTTTAGTTCCTGTTCCAGTTTCAGGAGGAGGTAGACAAGGCAGAGAATGTTTGAGATGCCTCCTTACCAGGCAGCAGGGTCATACTCGGCCCAGACACGCACGTACTCGTCCAGGTGGTGGGGGCCCAGGATGGAGGAATCTCGGGTGAGGTACTCAAAGTTATCCATGATGACAGCAACAAAGAGATTCAGCATCTGAGGGTCAATGGGAGCAGAGAGGAGACCATAGGGGGAGAGGCAGGGACACAGAGACCCAAGGGAAAAAGGAAGAGACCAGATGAGGGAAAGGGCACAGACATAAACAGCACAGACACAAAAGATACCCACACACAAGGCCAATGAGAGTGGAAGCCAGTGGCAAAGTGGAGAGAGAGAGGTGGAGAGATACACGCGGAGGCAAAGCCTGAGAGAGGTGGCGTAGTCAGAGGTAGGGGGCTATGTGCGCCCGGGGCCAAAGCCATTGCCTGCTGTGGTCCAAACCCTCCCACCAGAGCCGAGAACAGATTCTCACTGGGGTCCAGTTCCAATCGGGGAGTCCCTGGTCCTCTGCAGGAGGAAGTGTCTGCTACTGGCTCAGAGTAAGGGAGCCAGGGTGGTCTTTAACATCCTACAGTGCAAAGACCCTCAGCCCCCACATCCAGATGTCGCCATATAGGAGGCACTACGACAGAAGCCGAGAGAGAGCAAGGACTCCACCCGAGTCAGTACCAGGTAAGGACATAGCCCTCCACGTGTGCAGACTCACCAGAAACGAGCAAAGGAAGATGAAAGAGACAAAGTAGAAGTATGCGAACTCATTGCCACAGTCGGCGGTGAGGATCCCAGAGTTCTTGTCACACGGCTTCCCGCTGAGGCAGGAGAGCATGATGTTGTGCCACGCTTCCCCTGTGGCGCTCCTGGGGATACGCAGCGTCAGTGACCTGGGCTCCGGCCCCAAGTGGACACTACCGCCTCCCTAGAAGGGTAAGGACTGAGGCTCTGGGCTGGCCAGCCTCGGGCTCGAGTCCCAGGGTACCATCCCCTCTCCCTAAGTGCTCAGAAGGCTGTGTGTAAGCCTGGTCCGCCTGGTTCACGGGTTGGGGAGTCAGTGAGGTAGTGAGCACAGGTTTCTTGCCACAAGCCTGGCCACCTGAATGTGATCCCGGACCCATGTGGTAAAAGGGGAGAACTGACTCCCACAAGCTGTCCCCTGATCTCCACCTCTATGCCATGGCAGGGGCATCCACACCCACTGAAATTTTATAAAGGTTAAGAAAGAGGAACAGGAAAGCCCACAGGACGTCCTGGAAGATGGGGCTGGAATGGGGCTTGACGGTGGTGGTTGTAACCGAACTTTTGGTTTCTTTAAAAACTCACTTATGTTTGTAAACATGTTTTTGTTTTAATCCCCAGTGTGGGATTTTAGTTTGGGCTTTAGTTTGTCCACAGCTGATAATTGCTTCCTGAAGGGCGTGGTCTCTGCCAGCTGGAAATGGCCTGCAGCACGGAGAGGGGCGTGGTCTAGGACTCTGAGGGCTATAACCATGAGAGCCCGGAAAGAGCAGGTGTGGCAGTTTGTAGAGAGCAGAGTTGGACGGTGTGGCTGTGGTGGCGTGGAGGAGACTGCTTGCTGTGTTTGCTTTTGCCAGAGACTGGGATAGCCCCCTAAGAACCCACCACCCCTAAGCAGCTGGGAGAAGTAAAGGCGGCTGCGCCCCCTTCCCCGCTGACCTTCTCTCTCTTACCTAGGGTTAAATGATAGGTGGAAGGGAGGTGGAGGACTAAATACCACAAATAAAATAGTTTAAAAATGAGCGCACCAGGTGGTCATCTGGGGATCTGATCTGTGATTCCAAACCCTTCTCTCCGAAGGCCCATCTCTTAGCCTTTTCTCCCAGGCTGCTGCTCCCGGCATGCCAGGCTCTTGTCTTCAAGCATGTCAGCCATATCAGGGCATTTGTGCTGGCTATACTTTCTGCCTAGATGTTCCCTCCTAGGATTTTTCTGTCTCTTAAGGGTCTCACTGTGTAGCCTAGGCTGGCCTCATGCTCTCAGTCCTCTTGCCTGCCTCTTCCTGTGTGCTGGGACGGCAGGTGAGCAGCACCACAGGCGAGCAGCACCACAGCCCATTTCCACTCCTCTGAACCTCTCCTGTTCTCTTTAACAGCCTCAATAATTAGCTTACCAATGGTCTTCCTCAGGAGACCTGCTCCTACAGGGCAGAATTTAAACTTTCCCTAGGCCACATTCTTGGCTGTATCCAGTCAACATGTGGGACACAGTAGCTACTCAGCCAATGTCTATTGGCTCAAAGAACTCCTACATGCAGCCAGGATCAAGAACCAAACAGCTAGCCAGACATGGTGGCACACACCTTTAATCCTAGCACTTGGGAGGCAGAGGCAGGTAGATCTCCAATTGGAGGCTAATCTGCCTACAGAGTGAGCTTCAGGACAGCCAGGACTACAAAGAGAAACCTCGACTCAAAAAAACCCAAACCAAACCAAACCAAACCAACCAAACAAAAACACGGAAGCAAAAACCAAATCAAACCAAACCAAAAAAGCGAACATAAACCCAAACACCTGACTCCATAGGCCTCAGTTTCCTCACGAGTGTAAGATACTGTTTTAAAATCAAAAGTAGTTGGCTGGAGAAGGCACTATATTTTTCTGAACCTTTCTCTTTGTGCCAATTAGCCAGTCATGTCAGACCTGAAGCCAAGCTGCCACCAGTGCCACCACCTGGCACTGACAGAAGCCATCTTGGTCCTGGTGTGGTTGCTACGTGTGCTTTGTTGTTATATTCCTTCATGGAACATGGAGATCAGTCTTTGTTTCTAACAATTTGGGGGACTTGGCTTGAATTTCACCTGGGGGACACATTCCTTGCCAAGTTGTAGTTGCTCCCAGGGTCTCAGGTAAAGTGGGCAGGAAAGGCTCCCAGGCTGGAATTCAAGTTTCTCAGTATTGCAGGAAAACTGCACCTCCCAGTTTGTGGTCAGGACACTATGGAGGCTGTTCAGAATGAAGGAGGGGTTGCACCCCCGGGGGGCTCTATGGGACTCTCAATTTAGATTCCAGAAACCCCCTCCTTAGGGACAGGGCAGAGACAGAAGAGGAATGGGAAATAATCAGGCCAAACTGAGCTCCAAGGAAAGTAAAGGGCACAGATTCCCCCACACAGGGAATCTGGTTTTTGTTGCATAAGAAGCTCCCTGACCCCGTTCGCTGTATGCTCCGTGCCATGGACTAAGGAAAGATGGACAGTGTGTATGTAGAGGGTAACAATTAATGAAAAAGAAAGAGGCCATGAATTTAAAAGAGGGTAAGGAAGGGAGAAATGTGCTTGTGTTATAATCTCGGCAAGTATCAACAACGACAGAGAGGGCTTGCTGCTCTCGAGGGACAGCAGAGTTTGCTTCCCAGCACCCAGGTGGCAGCTGCCAGTACTCCGGGTCTAGGTGTTCTGCAGTGGGGTTTTAGAAGGACCACTGCACCAGGCCTCTGGAGCAATGGCCACTGAGGCCTGGCAGCAACCTTTCGTACATTATCAGTGCTTGTTATCAGGGATTATGGCGTTGCTCTCCCTTTGGGACTTTCAGAGCCTTTGCATGACCTCAGTTTTAAGACATTCCTGGCAAGCCAGGAATTCTTGTAATGGCTGATAATTGCTTAGGTAATAGTCCCTTCAGACAACTCTGAGATCAGATAGGAGGTTTTGGCTTGTGGAACTGACTTGATAAAAGGCCTTTTGTGTAACAATAAAAGTGCTTCTGCAGGCTGCTTGGAGTTCAGTCCTCAGAGGCCCATCCCCCTGCTGCTGGCGAGCTTTACTACATCCTGCTTCATACTCTTGCTCCTCCCCCAAGACCTCAAGGCCAAGCGCAATTAGGGCAGAACTGCACACAGCTGGCTGGCAGGAGGGAGGGGCTGGATACTCAGAGAGGGTCCCGAGACCCTGCCCAAGCCCTCACCGCTTGAAGAAGCATCAATAGTTAAGGGGACCAACGATGATGACCTTTACTTATGTGTGTGTGTCTCTGGGTATGTCTGTACACCACATGCATGCAAGAGCCCTCAGAGGTCAGCGGAGGGGTCAGAGCACTGTCCGAGTTCTAACTGACGGGGACGATGAAAGACAGGCTCTGCAGGTCTGTAGTGAGTACTAGGACAGCTACATAGTAAGACCCTGTTTCAAACAAGTTCTGGGTTTTTTTGTTTTTGCTTTGAATGATTTATTTATTTTTATTCTATGTGCATTGGTGTTTTGTCTAAATATGTTTGTATCAGTGTGTTGGATCCCCTGGAAGTGGAGTTACAGACAGTTGTGAGCTGCTAATGAGGGTCTGGGAATTGAACCCGGGTCCTCTGGAAGAGCAGCCAGTGCTCTTAACCACCGCGCCATCTCTTCAGACCCGTTTGTTTGTTAGTTAGTTAGTTTGTTTGTTTTTTGAAACAGGGTTTCTCTGTGTAGCCCTGGCTGTCTTCGAACTCACAGATCCCACCTGCCTCTGCCTCTCGTGTTGGCATTAAGGTGTGTGCTACCACACCCAGCTCATTTGCTCAGATTTGAGACTTCAGACTTTGGCTTACTGTAGGACCTACCTTCAGCTAAGCTCTCTTGGCTTTTTCTTTTTTTTTTTTTTAACCTAAAAAAATCAGAATTTTTCTCTCTCTAGAGCCATCTGGGAGGCCCTTACACTGTGATTCTAGCCAATCCAACAGCTATCATAGTGTCTGAAAATAGATCCTGGGTTCATCACTCTAGAGTCAGGCCATGCAAAAGAAGAGCGAGGAGGAGCACAGCAGATGGGTGCTCGTGAGCCCATCTAGAGTTTCTGAGGGACTTTGATTCGGACGTGGCTTCTGGCTTCTGGTTCCGTGCCAAGGCTAATCTCTCTCGCTTTGACTTCTCCCTCCCGTCTCTTTCCACAGATCAGTCAAAGGTCCCTTCCCTCTCTACGTCTGACGGTTGAAGAGAGATGTGCTCCCTGGATGGGTTACCCAAAACTGCACTTGTTACCTCCAATTCAGTTGACAGGAGCCAGATTGCCACACATTCACCATAGACAGAGGCAGAAATTGTCTAGACAGTTTAGGGTAGAAAGATCCCAAAGTAAAATACGTTCCTTTCTGGCCAAAAGCCAAAACCATCCTTGTGCTTCTTAGTAGCCCTGTTCTCATCAGAGACCAAATATGCTGTGCTGGCTAGTCTTATGCCAATTTGACACACAAACTGAGAGGAGGACCGTCAGTTGAAAAAACACCTCTATAAGATCAGGCTGTAAGGTATTTGTAAATTAGTGATCTATGGGCAAGAGCCCAGCCCATTGTGGGTGGTGCTATCCCTGAGCTGGTGGCTCTGGCTTCTGTAAGAAAGCAGGCTGAGCAAGCCATGGGAAGCAAGCCAGTAAGCAGCAGTCCTCCATGGCCTCTGCATCAGCTCCTGCCTCCAGATGCCTGCCCTGCTTGAGTTTCTGTCCTCACTTGCTTTGAGAATAAACAGCAATACAGAAGTATAAGGCAAATAAACTCTTTCCTCTTCAACTTGCTTTTTGGTCACGGTGTTTCTTCTCAGCAAAAGAAACCTCAAAGGAGACACATGCCAAAGTGTTTTGGTGCCCCTGATCTTTGATCAGTTTCCTAAACAACCCTAGGGTTACCATTTTAGCAGAATAGTGAAATAGCAGTGTGCAGGATAGTTTTATGTCAACATGACACAAGCTAATGTCATCTGAGGAAGGACCCTCAATTAAGAAAATGCCTCCATTAACCCAGACTCAGAAAGGCAAGCATGGCATGTACTCACTTATAAGTGGATATTATCTGCGCAGTAACGAATAACCATGCTACAATCCACAGACCCAGAGAAGCTAGGCAACAAGGAGGGCTCGCAGGAGCGTGGGACAGGAATGAATCTCCCGAGGGTGGATGGAGGCTGGCGGTGTGTGTGTGTGTGTGTGTGTGTGTGTGTGTGTCTGGATAGGGGAGGAGGGTGTGTAGCCTGGCTTTTTATTACTTTGTAGGTTTTCTTTCTTCCACCATTCTCCACCCCTTCTCTTCTTCCCTTTCAACTCCTAACATTAGCTATGAGAAAAAAGGATAGAGAGGAGAGGAAAGAGATCCCTGAATAAAGTCAGGGGTTCAAAAGGGGGCAACATTATCTCAGACTAATTAGGGTTAATTAGGTTGCTAATTAGGGTTCCTTGGGGGAAAATTTGATCTTTGCTGTCAGGATATCTAAATTCTTCTTGTTTCTTTTCTAAGCAAGAATACTTACCAAACCATGACCAACAGCAACCAACCAACAACTAACAATTCAGCACGTCTCTCGGGGGCCTAGCATTTATATACCTTCTGAAAAGTCCCAGAATTCCAAATGTCACACAATCCCAGCAACTATCTGCAGCTGGCAAAATCATGCCCCTGCCAGAACATGAGGCAAATTATAGACAGCTCCTGCAAAGTAACCGCATCTCCCCACACCTGGGGTCAAAATAAAAACATATTCTTACATTTCTGTGTTTTAAAAAAACCCATTACAAATTTCTCACTAGGGGGTGGTTACAGGAACAGAAGGGATCAGGTGGTGGTGGTGGGGAGGATGGAGAGAGAGAATACTGGGAAAAACAACTGGAATTGAGGGGCATCTCTGCGATGAGTTAGAAACCCAGTGCAATGGAAACTCCCAGGAACCGATGAGGGTGACCCCAGCTAAGACTCCTAGCAGTGGAGGATATGGAGCCTGAACTGGCCGTTTCCTGTAACTAGGCAAGACTTCCAGTGGAGGGACTGGGACACCAACCCAGACACAAAACCTTTGACCTACAATCTGACCTACAAGATGCACTGGGGTGAAGGCAGTGCAGAAATGACTGGTCCAGCCTGAGGTCCAGGCCCTGAGAGGGAGCCCACCAGACACTGCCGGGAGGGCCGGGACCCAGAGCTGGACGGCTAAGAGACCTAGGATAGAAGATGATTCCTACTGATATTCTGCTATACTGAGAGATCAGTGCCTAGCCCAGCTGTCATCAGAGAGGAAACAGATGCAGACCCACAGCCAAACATTACGCAGAGCTTGGGGAATCTTGTGGAAGAGAGATTGGAAGGATTGCAGGGGCCAGAGGGGTCAAGACACTACAAGAAAACCTACACAATCAACCAACCAGGGCTCATAGGGGCTCACAGAGACGGAACTGACAATAGGGAGCCTGCACAGGACTGACCCAGACCTGAGTTGTGTGGCTTGGTCTTCCTGTGAGACTCCTAACAGCGGGAGCTGGGGCTGTCTCTGACTCTTTTGCCTGTTTTGGGGACCCTTTTTCTCCTAAGAGGCTGCCTTGTCCACCCTCAGTATGAGAGAATGTGCTTAGTCTCACTGCAACTTCATATGCAATGGTCGATGCATGGGCCATATACAATGGTCCATGGGAGGCCTGCCCTTTCCTGAGGAGAAACGGAGGGGGGGTGGGATGTGGGAGAAGGTGACAGAGGGGAGAGGAGAAACTGTGGTAGGGACGTTAAAAAAGAAAAAAGAAAATGCCTCCAGTGTCATCCCTGGAATGGTGGTCCTGGGGTCTATGAGAAAGCAGGCTGCGCAAGCCAGTAAGCAGCACCCTTCCTGGGCTCTTGTGCTGGCTACTTTTATGTCAACTTGACACAAGCTGGGGTCATCTGAGAGAAGGGAGCCTCAGCTGAGAGAATGTTAGAGCATTTTCTTAATTCGTGATTGAGCAGGGAGGCCCCAGCCTGTTGTGGGTGGGGCCACCCTGGAGCTGGGGGTCCTGGGTTCTATCAGAAAGCAGGCTGAGCAAGCCATGGGAGTAAGCCAGTAAGCAGCACCCCTCCATGGCCTCTGCATCGGCTTCTGCCTCCAGGTTCCTGGCCTCTTTGGGTTCCTGTCCTGACTTCCTTCAATGATAATGTGGAAGTGTAAGCAGAATAAACCCTTTCTTCTCCAACTTGCTTTTGGTCATGGTGTTTCATCACAGCAACAGAAACCCACACTAAGACAAGCAGTAAATGCCTGTTGAGACAAAACTCCTGGTCAAGAGGACAGATTTTCTATCTAGGGTGAAAAACCTCACATTCCAGTTGGGCTAGGTCAGTCAAGTGGTTAAGGGACTTTTCTCCAGGAAGGTGGATGTACCATGAACCATGCTTATGCCATCCCTTGTGATAACAATAGTTTATAGCCAATGTATGCTAGCTAAGTTGGGGAGGGGAGTGTAACAAAGATGGGGAGATGGTGGGAAACATTTTTTTCCCCTATTGAAAGTAGTTAGCTGAGGAAGGGCTCATGTTTTCTGAATATTCCTTGTCCCCTTTGCACCTACTAGTTAATCACATCAGCTTGAGAAGTAGTTGCCACCAATGGGATGAAACACAGTCAATACCTATGCCAGTGATAAAAGACAGAAACTGCCACACGCCTTTCATCCCAGCACTTGGGAGGCAGAGGCAGGCGGATCTCTGTGAGTTCGAGGGCAGCCTGGTCTACAAAGAGAGTCCAGGAGAGCCAGGGATACAAACAAAACAAACCAACTAAACAGACAAAAAAAGAAAGTATCTTGGCCCTAAGATGCTTGCTAGATCGTCTGGTTCTTGTTGCATGCTTTTTACAAAAGAACTGCCTCATTTTGCTCAAGTGTTCCTTTGTGGGACATGGGTCTCACAAGTACTCCCACCCCTAAAGCTGGTCAGGATGATTCAACTAGATGGAATATTCCTCCTATGCTCCTACCCTGTCCAGGATCCTTGTGCACTATTGGGAAGAAGGGAAGGAGATTTGCGCAGGACTTAACTCCACCCCAAATGGAAGAGTCAGAGGGACCACACCACCAGCCAGAAGAGTAATGAACACACAGCATGGTTCGAACCCAACCTAAACAGAAGCATGAGCCCCCAGCCCCCTCACCGGAAGAGAAGCATGAGCGCCTGGAAGAAGGTCCGGAAGTTATTGTGCTCGGTGATCTGGAACTCATCCTCATCGCTGTCCTCATCTTCCCCGTCAATGCCGATGTTGCCAAACACCTGGAGAGTTGGAGGGTGACGATCCGACCCAGACACCCTGGCACCTCTAAGGCAGGCTTCCCTCCCGCAGCCCTGGAACCCCAAGGGTGCGGGGTCACCTGCATCCCAATGATGGCGTAGATGAAGAAGAGCATGGCGATCAGCAGACAGACATACGGTAGGGCCTGGAGGGAGAGAAGGCAGTGAGGAAGGGTGGCTGGCGGCTGGCCCAGAGCTGCTTGCACTGGGTCAGGTGATCATGTGCCCCAGGCTGCCAGGGCGCACGAGGTCTTCAGAGCTCTGTAGACCCTGTGCGCAGACTTTCGACAAGAGTCATGCTCATGGCGACCTAGCTATCCCAGAAGGACTTCCAGCCCGGTTTCCTCATCTCGCCCAGAGCTAGGGGTCTGCTCTGGCCCAGACCAGCAGCAGGAGTGGCGGCTGCAGCGTACCTTGAAGGACTGCACGAAGGTCCAGAGGAGAATGCGGATGGTGTAACCCTGTCGGAGGAGTTTGATGAGTCGGGCAGCACGGAAGAGGCGGAGAAAGCTCAGGTTGATGAAGTTATTCTGAGGAGATGAGGAGGAAAGGTGACCATCCACCCACCCAGAGGAGCTTAGAGTCAACACTCACAGAGGCCCCTACATGAAGCCAACCAATAGGAAAAGCAAGCCACACCCCGAATAAGGAGGGCGAGGAGAGAAAGCACTGGTAATGCAACGGAGCAGAGGGGAACTGAAAAAAAAAAAAAAAAAAAAAAAAGAGTTGGGTAGGGAAGGTGGGTCGGGGAAGGAAGATACATCAACTCAAAAGCTTAAGCCCACCCAGCCAGGTCCACTCTCAAGTGGAGAAAAGGCGAGGGGAGGGGAAGGAGGAGAAAGGAACAGGGTTGAGAAGGAAGTAACAAAAGAGCACGGAAAAGAAAATAATCCGAATCATCCAATCAGGAAAAAAATCGAGATGGTTTTATTTCTCCCAACAACCAAATGCACTGAGACGGTAGGACACAAGCGGTCAAGTTGCAGAACCCAGCACAAGAGTACGAAGCACAGACACGGGCGGGTGGGGAAAGGCGCCAGCACACGCAGGCCGAGGGGGCAAACGCGGTTCCGAGGGCATGTTACGCTCGGGGCCAGAAATGCATCTGTCCTGGGACTCACCGGGCACCCTGCCCTGCCCTGCCCTGCCGAGCTGCCCACCCGCTCCTGCCCGCCCTGACCTCACCCCACGGCCCAGAGGAGCAGCGGCTGGAGCCAATGGGGAGAAGCGGAAGGGCATCTTTTCTTACCCCCTTGGCGAGCGGGAATGGGGAGGACGGGAGGGAGCTGGGGCTGTTCGGCTGCAGGGTGAGTCCTCGCTGCCCGCTGAGTCGGAGAAGATGCATTAGGGGCCCTTTTCCCCCCTCTCAGGGATGGCTTCTCAGCTTCTGGGGCTGGGTGGTGTCTCGGGACCAGGCCTGCGGGAAGCAGGAAGGTCTCAGCTCCCGGGGCGAGTGAGCTCTCATCAGCCCAGGGCCTACCAAGGGGCCAGTGCTGAGGGTGGGGAGATAAGCTATCCCTGGCCCCAGGACCTCGCTGGGTGGACCCTGCCTGCCCTCCAAACCCTGGTCTAGTCGCTGCCTCTGGCCTCTGCCCCGGCTATGAATGGAGAGAGGTGGTTGAAAAGTGTGGGCAAGGCCCAGGACTCCAGGGGGCTTCGGGGAGGCTGGCAAGGGGTGCGAAGTGACCCAGCGTAGCCAGTGAGAGTCATTTGTTGGGCCTGAGCTTTTTCAAATTTTATTTTTATTTTTAAGAAAAGAGTTGCTAACTTGAAAATCAGATTTTGCTCACCAATCTGGCCTTTTGGGTTCCCCAGGCCTCGCACAGCTGTCCCTGGAGTCTGGCTAGTACTCTCCAGTTTCCTAATCTCTCTGGTGATTGGCTTACAGAGTATTTGAGTTTCCTGCATGGGATCGCAGGGTCACTATCAGCAGGCTGAAGGCAGTGGGCACGGGGTCTCTGGCTAGGAGGGAGCCTTCTGGCGCCCCAGTCTAAGGATTTGTAGGAGTCTTGGAGACAGGTCATGTGGCAAGGCTAATAAGGAGGCCTAATGATAAAAGATGCTTGATGGCCTAGACAACAGCTTTCTTCTGGCCTTTCATCTGTCCCTATTTGCACCATGAATTATTTATTTATTACATCAGGATTGTGCTATCATCCAGGTTGGTCTTGAATTTGAGATCCTCCTGCCTCAGACTCCCAAGTGCTGGGATTTCATTTGTCTTTGGGCAGTAAACTGTGTGGTTAGGCTGCTTCCTGGAGGCATCTCTTTACTGGACATGCGCCTTGATCTAGCTCTGGCTTAGAAGCTGAGAGGCAGTGACTCGAGTCTGAAGGATTTCCGAGGCTGATAAGAGGCCTCTGGCACAAAAGATGTGGCCCTTGGGCTTCTGAGATGGGGAACAGGCCTTGGGCTCCTACATCAGGTCCCTCTAGGGCCCAACCATTATGAGCCTGTCCCAAGAGCCTCACACAAGCCTGCAAGTCTAGCTAAGTGTCACCCACCATGCCCCGCTGACCTGATGCCTGGTCCTGCCTGGCCACCCAGCTCCACTGGGATGGGACCACTGACCAAAAATACCCAACCCTCTTCCCTCCACCCCCCCGAGAACAAGCCATCCCTTCCATGGGGCGGACCATAACATGTGGGCTCGGCTGAACATGCAGGGTTCCTGGGAGCAGTTCAGGGTGGGGCCGGGGGCTACACTGGCACATGCAGAAGCAGGGGTCTAGCAGCTGCTGAGCATGCGCACACATGAGGGAGGAGGGGCGGGGACGGGAGAGGTTCAAGGGTCTTAGGTCTCACTGGCTCCTCAGCTCTTCCTGGGTCTGCATGGAGTCCTGTTAGCATACAGAACTCCCAAGAAGTGTCCTCTTTCTATTCAGACCCCACCCTGTGCTGCAGGGCCAAACTGAGCAGCAGAAGATGCAGGCTCGGGTGTGTGGGACCCTGGCCTTTGTGCGCTCCCTGGTGACAGGGTCAAGGGCAGGCATCCCCTGGGTGGCACCTCTCACCCCAGATTCCAAAAGTTCTCCATACCTGCCCATGTGTTTCCCTCCCAGCCCTCCCCTCAAGCCCCAGGTCCCTAACTGGGGTCCTTCTGGGGCATCCAAAGGGCGCCTCAGCCTCAAAATGGCTGAGGTGTTCTCCCATAAACCCCTGGCTTCCTCCTTCTCCTAACTTCCATCTCTAGCTTTCCAGAGACACCCAGCCCTACCCCTCCCCGGGCCCTGCAGACGGCTCTCCTGACATCCTCTACCTCCCCAGTCACCTCTCACTGGGGCTTCCTGGCACCCACTTCCAGCAATCTTTTCTAATCAGTCCCAGAAGTGTCCCTGGTTCAAATTCTTCCAGATCTTGTTATTGCTCTGGATGAAGCCCAGAAGCCTAGTCCCTTCATCTTTCTGAGTAAGCCCCCCCCCATCCTGCTGCTGTATCCAAGTCCCTCCCTTGCCGACGCTTCCTGGCCACAGAGCTGGGCCTCAGAAGGTTTTGCTAATGTTGCCTGGTCTTCTAGCATTGCAGTCACAGTTTTAAGTAGAATTGGGGTTGTAGAACCAAAGTCTGCCTCCCCTACTTCACAGTAGCCAAGCAGGGTAGCGATGGCGGCTACAACTTGCCCCTTTATCAGCGGCACCTAATGGGACTCACTGGTGCATGGTGGATGGACGCATGTGGGCACTCCACTGGAGGTCCTTCAGAGTGTTTCCATGGAGGTGGGCAGAGGGACAGAGGTGGGGGAGCACAGCAACCGAGAGTTGTGAAGGGAGGGGGACCAAGAAATGCTGCGGGAGTAGATGAGACTTACAAAAGGGGCTGTGTGTGTGTGTGTGTGCGTGTGTGTGTGTGTGTGTGTGTGCGCGCGCGCGCGCGCTCGGACTTGTAGGATCTTGAGATTAATATGCGCGTCTTTACTCATCCCTTCGCTGTTTATTTGGGACAGGGTTACTGTAGCTTTGGCCGGACTGGAATTTGCCATGTAGACCAGGCTGGCCTCAAACTGCAATCTTCTAGCTTTAACTTCAACACTGAGATCACAGCTGTATAACACCACCACGTCAGCTCTGGGATGGGTCAGAGCATAAGGGATGTAAGTGGGATGGAAAGCTAGGTCTACCCTGGGGTCCTAATGGAGTGAGAGCATTCCTTTCTTGCAAAGGATTCAGACCCATTGGAGCAGAAGCCCCAACTCAGAATTCAATAAAACCAACCAGAGGGAGCTCTAGGAAAGGGGAAGAGAGAGGGTGGGAGACAGACAGAGGTGGGGTGGGTGGGGAGGGTGCGCAGGCCCCCACAGGAAAGCTGGTGGAGCATGCAGCGCAGTTAATGTAAGGCATTTACACTTCAGAAAGAAGTAACACCAACCGGATTCTAGATGCAGATGTTGAAGAGGGGGGGGGGGGGGGGGGGGGGGGGCAGTTGGGGAGGCGATTCAGCGTTTTGTTTTGTTTTGTTTTAAATTTAATTTTTTAGGTGGATTTGTAACCAGTGCCAAAAAACCAATGGGTTTCGGTTCCGGGCGGGGAGTGGGGTGGCGTGGCGGTGGCGGTGGGTTGGGAGGTAAGTCATTGGTGTATGGACACACAGACCACGTCATGGGTGAACAAATGGATTTCATAGTGCATTTTGATTGGATGAGTTTTTCAGACGGCGTTGCGCCAATATACAGTTTAAACAGCAGGCATGGAAAGAGACAAGACAAGAAACACAGTCATTATCCATCGCGCATGGGCAAACCCGCCCCCGGCCGCGTCTGGGCATGTTAAAGCCCAGGGCTGCACTAGCGTCTCAGCCTCTGAATCCCAGGAGACTAACTGCCCTCCTGCTCTCCTACCTCATCTTGGCTCTAGCCTCAAGGATGGTGGCCTTACCTGGGTCCCAGACAGGGACTACCAGCACCGAGCGCAGGGTGAGGACAGGCCATACCCCACCTCCCGTCATCTTTCCCGGTGGTGTCAGGGCAGCCTGACTGCTCCTCTACGCACACCCACGGGAACAACGACAATAGGAATAATAATAACCACTGGGAACTGACTTTTGTGGCAGGCTGTGTGCCAAGCCTGCCACACAGGATGACTTTTGTGTGTGTACTTGCAGGGTCTCTCACAAACAGAACCAGAGCTCCGCCGCAGAGGGGGTTGGGTAGGGCTTAAGGGATGTGCTCTACCTTGGAGCCATGCTCTCAGGCCCTTGCTGCACAACTGTGGGCCGGGGCTCTACCACTGAATTGCACTCCCAGCCCACTTACTCTTTTTTTTTTAACAATTACATTTTATTTATTTATTTTATGAGCCTGTGTGGGTCCCAGGAGATTGAACTCAACTAATGTGTTGGTTTGAATGAGAATGGCCACCAGAGGCTCATACAGTTGAACACTTGGCCTCCGGTTGGTGGAACTGTTTGGGAAGGATTAGGAGGGGTGTCCTTGTGAGAGGATGGATGTCACTCATGGAGTTTTGAGTTTCAAAAATCCATGTCATTCCCAGGTAGCTTCTAATTCCTCTCTCTCTGTCTCTCTCTGCCTCATATAAGTTCTCAACTATTTCTCCAGCTCAAGCCTGTGTGCCTGCTGCCATGCTCCCTGCTACGAAGGTCATGAAGTCTACCTACTGCCTTCTGGAACCATGATCCCTCAGGTAGAAGCTTTTTATTTTCATTTTTTAAGTTGCTTGGCCATGGTGTCTCTTCACCTTGCTAGAAATGTAACTTAACACAGGCAGTCAGGCTTGGTGGCAAGCCTCTTGACACACCACGAAGTCCTCTTGATGGCCCCTAGCTGTTACTGTGCACCCTCTCTAAAGTTAGAGCCCGCCCTCCAGGTCAGGCACTCTGTGTGCCTGCTGTTTTGTCATGCTCCTTTTTGTTCTGTCTCTAGCACCCATAACTCCCCTGGAAAGAGCAGGTGCTCAGTGTGTGCCTGATGAAAGTGTGAATCGTGTACAGAATTGATGAGGTTGGTGGCATTGTCCCTGCTGGTGGCAAAAGAGATTCTCTGACAAGAACAATTGGGTAGCTGGAAGGGGCTGTTTGGCTATTTTAACGACCTAGATGTCTCTGCATTGGCCTGCCTGTATGTGCTACCGGCCTACCTGCTAGAGTGAGCAGTGGGGATCTCGGCCTACAGAGGTCTTGCTAGCAACTAGAAGTTTCAAGCGACTTTACCTGCTCTGGGAAGCAGGCCACTTCTCCCAGGCTCTGAGCCCAAAGGGCCATTGTCTTAAGGTTGCCCTACTCTCCTATCTGAAGGCATCTGGAAAATGCTAAGTCCGTTCTGGGGTTTCCAGAGTTTGCGGGAGTCACCCTTGTCTTGCTGAGCCCTTGCCTGGTGCTGCGTGTCAGATTCCTGCTGTGGAATGAGGTCAGTTGTTCCTGCCCATCCATGCCTTGAAGGACTTATTTTCTTCCCCCATTTCTCCTGGGTCAGCAAGGGGCCCCGGTGGGAGAGGACAGGGAAGACAGGGCCTCTCCCTACTGCACTGCGGGCTACCAAGCTGGTCTGTGTCCAGCCCTTCTCGCTGATCTCCTTGGACCATCTCACCCTCTTGGACAATTGTCTTGCCTGTCAGTCCCTTCAGGCTAACCCTGTGAGATGATCCTCCTGTGCACTGATCCCGGACCCTCAGTGGGAGCTAGTTCATATGAGGTGCTTGGCACAACGTTCTCAGTGTTTTTGTTTGTTTGTTTTGTTTTGTTTTGGGGTGAGGAGACCAACACAATGCCTCACACAAGCCAAGCCAGCACTCAGCTACTGGGGCATCCCCCCAGTCCAGTTATTATTATTTCCATTGTCATTGGGGGGCATCCACCCCACCAGTGACCCCGTGCACTGATGTTTTGCTTTTTGCCTTTCAGTCCCCTAGGAGGATCTCGTACTGTGCCCAAAGTCTCCTGAGGGTTCCCAAGCCAGGGCTCACTGGCTCATGGTGAAGGACAAGGTCTGGGAGGGAGCCTTTGGATTTGGGCCCAGGATTTACTTGAAAAGGGGTAATGACAATGTGGCCTAGAAGCTCAGGAACTACCCCCTTCTTTCCCTATTTGGAATGCCTGGGGATGGTGCTATTCCGGTGACTATCCTAAAACCTTGACAGTGTTATCCCCAGCATGGCCAGCAGGGGGCAGTGGACCACAACCTGTGGGCTGGTTGGAGCATGAACTTGGCTCCTTTTGTCTTTATGAGTTCTCAATGTAGTGAACTGGTGACACTCTTTATTCATAATTCACCAGCCACCAAGCAGAGAAGCACACTGCTCAGCTCTGGCCATATGTCCTGGCTTTGGACACACCTATCTCTCCTCACTGAGACCTTTAAGAGCTGTCTTTGCACCCCCAGACCACCACCCAGAAAAACTCGTTCACATTCCCTGTCTCGGGCCGTGCACCTCAAGTTCTCCCTCTATGTCTCTAGCCAAGCACTGGCCATAGCCTACTGTGGTGGCCAGGAACTGCCGCTTCTGGGCTCCCCTCCTTCTGCTCCCACTACTCCAGCCCCGAGCCCCCCGGAGAGAAGCTGGCAGGAGACTTACCCCAAACTCCGTGACGAGGATGTCTGTGATGCTGCCCAGAACAGTCACAAAGTCGAAGATGTTCCAGGCATCGCGGAAATAATTCTAGAACAGGGACCCACAAGACAAAGATGCCAACGGAAGGCTCTGTGCCCTCCCGCCCCCAGAGCCGTAAGGAGCATGTCAGGGCGCGACATGTCATCAGAGACCTCTTCCCTGTTCCTTGACAGCTTCCCCCAGATGAGACTCAGCGACCTGCCTCTGCTCTGCTGGGCCCACCTTAAATGTCTGACGTTCCTCAAGCCCCCAGGATATCACTGAATTCCCCACAAAAGATGCTAGGGATGATGCTTATGAGACATTGTGATGTTTGCTTTTAGTGACTTATTTATTGTTGTCTTCTGTGCGCTGTTGCTTTGTCCTCATGTATTTCTGTGTGAGGGTGTTAAATTCCCTGGACCTGGAGTTGTGAGTTGCCCTGTGAGTAAGGAATTAACCTCTCTGTGCGTCTATTTCTGCTCTTGGTAAGAAGGACAAGTGAGGGCATTCCAACAGGAGCTTCCAGGCTGCTGAGGCTGCTGGGAGCAGTGAGTGCTTTGCCAGTGAGAGATTCTCTAAACTCTCCCTGTCTCTCTGTTTCTCTCTGTCTCTGTCTGTCTCTATTGCAATACACAGGTCCATATGGGTGGAAGTTAGAGGTGTTGCTCCTCAGGAAACATCTGTCTGTGTTTTGAGGCAGGGTCTCTCGCTCACCTGGACCTCAATGATTCAGTCAGGCTGGCTGGCCAGTGAGGCCCCCCCCCCACAAGTCCCCCTGCCTCTGTCTCCTGACAGAGTTACAGGTGCACACCACCATGCCTGGCCCTTACATGACTTTTACATGTGTTGTAGAATTTACACAGTTGAATTACTGTGTGTATTTGTGGGTGTCTCATCTCCTGGAGCTGAACTTACAGGCAGTTGTGAGGATTGATCCGGTTCCTGGGGATCAAACTCAGGCCCTCACGCCTGCACTTTATAAACAGAGCCATCTCCCCAGCCCTGCCTCCAGAGCTCCACTAACCCTGAGCAGCTGACTATTCCACATGGTGGCTGGGTCCCCAACTAACCAGGAGGCAAAACTCCACCTTGATGGGTGAAACAAAACCCCTGTTGCCACGAGCCACAGACTTGGGGGATGCTGTGCTGTCTCTGCTGCCTGACACATGTCCCACTGCACTCTTAGCCCAAGTTCTTTGGCAACAGTCACAGCTTCAAAGCCCTCTGGGGACCCTACTCTAACAAGAGAGTCCACATGAGCAACGTTTCCTTTGACCTGCAGGCAGTCCTCTGCCTCACAAGGAAGGTCCCAGAGCTGGCAGTTGCTGGGTCATCAGATAATGAGTATGTGAGGAGCACAGATTGATATACAGGAGGTGCTCAATGGGTAAGTCCTGGGGTACAGGTGCCTGGAGAGAATGCAGGTCCCACTGGCGCCTCTGGTATTTGGACCCCCCCTTCCCCTCACACACCGTCACAGGCTTTCATTACTACCCCTCCCCACTTGGGGTCAGGCCTGGCAGCAGTTCTGACTGAACAGCCAGGTGCTCAATTCCACCTCCTCCTTTGAGAGCGCTGCTGTCCAACACGCTCTCTGCTGCCACCTGGTGGCCTCAGGTGGAATGAAGCCCCTGGCGCTCTGAGCCAACTGACACTGTTTAGCCCTGCTGGCAGCTGTGGTGTCTCTGCCCTTGATGCATCGCCTCTCCTGTTCCTTTTGGAAAACACCTTTCAGGTATATTCCTTCATTCAACCCTCATCTCAGATGCTGCTTCTGAGGAATACTCAGTGAGGACAACTTCTGGGTTTTTGGCCACATCTCAAACCCACGATCTGTCACCTGCATGTCACCTTAGGAAGTTCAGGGTTTTTATAAACGGCTCCAGAAGAGTCAACAGCACAAGGGCTTGGAGCCTCAGCCACAGCACAGTGGAGACTGGCTGAGGGGAGGGCAGCTCCTCCCAGTTACAGGAGGCCAACGCTCCATCTCTGCTTTCTCAAAAGCTCCTATGAGTGCAAAGATACCAAGGGACTTGGTATTCACTTGGTTGGAAAGGGATTTGAACCGGGAGGTATTTAAGCCAGGAGCTGACACCTTCCCCGTCTATGCTCTGTGATTCTCTTGTGCAGCACAGCCATGCTCTTGCCTCGACAAGATGACCCCTGCCTGCAGGCGATCAGCGCCGCACGGCACAGGCCTCTGAGCCTACAGAGCCTCTGGCAGTACTCATAAAAAAATGCTAGTTGGAAGCTAGGTGTGATGGTAGATGCCTTTAATTCTGGCACTCTGGAGGCAGAGGCAGGTGGGTTTCTGTGAGTTCCAATCTAGCCAGAGCTACACAGTGAGACCTTGTCTCAAAAAAGACAAAACCACAATAAGTCCACAAGATTGGGCTGTTAATGGTGCTGCCACCTCTGAACCCCAGCTCAGGAGGCTGAGGCAGGGGAGTTGAGAGTTTGAGACCAGCCTGCACTACAGTGTGAGACTATAAAAACACAACCAGAAAACCAAGTTTCAGGGCTGTTATCCAACAATATGGAACTTTTGGAGGTAGGTCTGGGACAAATTCAACGTTAAGACATTTGCCCATGTGCTGGTGCTGGTGCTGGTACACATACGTGCATTTGGGCCACACTGTGGATGTTAGAGGTCAGAGGTCAATCAAGGGGGTCTTCTGAGACAGGGTCTGTCAACTGGCCTGTAGCTTGTTAGGCTCCCTGCCTAGTGAACCCCAGGACCCCTCCCCTGAGGTGCTGGGATTACAGATACGCACTATCACACGCATCTTCTCATGGGTGCCGGGATCTGAGCTCTTGCTGATGGGCAATCACCGCACCAACAGAAGCGTGTCTGCATTCCCAGTGGGCTGAATTTTAACCCTCTCTGTTACTTACAGAATGCTCGCTCCATGCCAGGCTTCTTCCTCAGATGAAGAGCCTAAGGCAAGGACTGAGGGCAAGTAATTGTTTTGGGAGGTGACCCCAGGAAGGGCAGCCCTGACGTGCATTTATCACATTTGACCCAGCCCTTTCTTTTCTTTCTTTCTTTTTTTGTTTTTTGAGACAGGGCTTTCTATGTAGCCTTGGCTGTTCCGGAACTCGCTCTGCAGACCAGGCTGGCCTTGAACTAAGAGATCTGCCAGTCTCTGCCTCCCGAGTGCTGGAATTAAAGGTGTGCACCACCACTGCCTGGTGAGCCGGCTCCACTAATCACTGTCAGATAACACAATGTGAAGAGGGGTAGACTCTGAGTCTAGTCTAGGTGCTAAGGCGTTCAGGCTTCGCAGTAAGCCAAGGATTCATGTCCTGGGAGGCTGGCTGAGTCTACAGGAAGCCCTCCAAGAGGAGCGGGGTGACAACAGCCAGGGCAGTTCTCATCCTCAGGTGTTCCCAGTGCTCAGCTAGGGAGTCCGCTAACACAACAGCTCCATGCTACAGGATGGCTGAGAATCCCGGAGGCCATGAGGCTGGCTCATTAGCCTGTGGTCTAATGGGAGCTGCTGATGGGGCCTAGTGAAAGGAAGTGAGGTCTCAGACAGTATAGGGTAGGGACTATGCCAGAGACCTACAGGGTAGAGGCTAGGTGGCCTGTGAGACTGGGAGGTGCTAAGTTCTCATGGGAGGGAGGCAGGCCACAGGGGCAAGCCGGCCTCTTTCCCTTGCTCTTGGCTTCCCAGCTGCCTTGAAGTAGGTGTCCTCCTCCATCGCCAGTGGCTGCCCCACAGGCCCAAAGGCTGAAATGCCATGGGCTGAAACCTCTGAAACTTTGAACCACAGATAAACCTTCCTACTTAATAAGTGGCATACCTGGGTATTTCGCCACAGCAATGGGGAACTGACTGACACATGAAGATAAAAGAAAGTGCTCCAGTTCAGGCAGCGGCTGTGGGGACAAGGGTGTGATGTCTTCCCGTCTAATTTCACAGCCCCTCTACCTATCCACTGATTGATTTCCCTTTGGGATCTGAGTGCCTTAGAGTAAGATACACCACCAGTCTAGACAAAATTAAATTAGTGGGCCAAATATATATATATATACATACATACATACACTCCCAAGACAGGGCTTCTGTCCTGGAATCACTGTGTAGACCAGGCTGGCTTTGAACTCATAGGGATCCGCCTGCCTCTGCCTCCCAGTGTGCATGTTCTGTGTATAAATATGTATATAGTCGTGTGTGTGTGTGTGTGTGTGTAGGCCAGAGGACAAGCTCAGGAGTCCTGTTCAGGGATGCTGCCTGTCACCTTTAGATGAGGTCTGGAGGGTACAGTTAGGTGGCCTGTCAGGCCAGGGAACCACAGGATCCTCTTTCCTCTCCTTCCCAGTGCTAGAGTCACAGTGCACGTCACCACACCCAGCTTTTTTTTTTTTTTAATTTTTTAAAGATTTATTATTTATACACTATACTGCCTGCACATGTGTCTGCAGGCCAGAAGAGGGCACCAGATCTCATTATAGATGATTATGAGCCACCTTGTGGGTGCTGGGAATTGAACTCAGGACCTTTGGAAGAACAGCCAGTGCTCTTAACCTCTGAGCCATCTCTCCAGCCCCACACCCAGCTTCTTGAGTCTTCTGAGGACTGGATTCCTCATGCTTTTTACAAGCACTTTGTCGACTAAGCCATCTCTCAGCTTTCTGCCTGGGTAACTTAGTAAATCCCTGTCTCAAAATGGAAAGTAGGGGCTGGAGATGGCTCAGCAGTTAGCAGAGCTTGCTGCTCTTGTAGAGGGCCTGGGCTCAGTTCCCAGTACCCACGTGGAGCTCACAGAGGCCTCTCCTTCTACTCTCGGGGTTTGCTGGCCTCCAGGCACATGTGCGGCACATAGACATGCATGCGGGCATACACCAACACACACAGATAAAGTTAGCTAAAAGCCACGAAGAAAACTAAGAAGATAGCGGGTGAAGGGGCTGTAATTAGCCCTCAGGTCCTGGGAGCGCTACTATGGTGTCCCAGCACTGTGCTGTGAGGTCTGCTAGGTTACAGGCAAAACTGTCTTCTCTCTTTCCTTCCTTATTCCTCCCTCCCTCCCTCCCTTTCTCTCTTCATTTCTGACAAGTATTACCCAACCACAGGCTGGCCTTGAACTCTAGAGCCTCCTGCCTCAGCCTCCCAAGTGCTGGGGTGACAGGCCTGGCCAGTGTGAATACTGGGGACTCGCCCTCTGTGGCTACAGTTTCCTGACATCAGTAGCTCTGACCAGGGTCATCTGGAGGACAGCTGAATCCCACTCCACTCAACCCTCGAGCACAGGGCTGTCCAGGTCAGGTGTGGACTTCTGCTGGGGACCAGGTCTTGGGGCCCAGAGCACACACCTTCTCCTGAACCCTGAGCCTTGTTAGCTCCTTCTGCCCACTACCCTCAGGCCCCACGTACCAGAATTCCAAAAGCCATGACTTTCAGCACACATTCCAGAGAGAAGAGGGAGGTGAAGACGATGTTGAACACTCGAAGAGCGTTTTCATAGGCCACAGAGGCTCCGTAGAACTAGATGGAGGAGAGGCAGAGAAGTCAGTGGCCTGGCTGGGAGCCAGGTTGCAGGTCCCTCCCACCAGAGGGCCTGGAGAGGGCAACAGCTCAGCAACACCTGGGCCATGAGACAGGGCACTCTAGCACGGGCTGGCCTCAGAGTCATGGCAATTATCCCAGCTCAGCCTTCCCAAGTGCTGTAATTATACAGAGGCTGTATAATTGCCAGTCCTTACTTATGGCAATCTTTATCTTCTGATATGAGTACTTAATTATTTTTTATTTCTTCACCATAAAGCATCTTAATGATAACGTAGCCAAGCTTGTCAGTTGAGTTTATGCATATATTCACTTTTGTGTTTGTGTACGTGTGTGTGTGTGTGTGTGTGTGTTGTGTGTGCATGTATATCATGTGTGTGAATGCCCATGGAGGCCATAAAATGGGAGATACAGGCAGTTGCAAGCTGCCCCACATAGGTACTGGGAAGCAAGCTCAGGTCCTCTGGAGGACAGGTGGATTTCTTGCCACAGGGCTCTCCTGAGCCCTCCTCACTTCTTATTCATTGTTTGATGTTAGTAATGGGCTCTAGGGCCTACCTAGCACCTGTATGCCAGGCAGGTGCCCTCCTGAGACACATCCTTCCTCAGGCTTCATTTTAAAAATTTAATTACATATCATTTAGCTCTTATGTGTGTTCAACACATGCATACACGTGACGTCAGTGGACAACTTGCAGGAGTTAGTTTTCTCCTTCCAAACGTGGGACCAAATGTGGTGCAGGCACTGTTATTACTGAGCCATCTTGCCAGCTCTTCATAATTTTATTTTTCAGACAGGGTTTTACTAAGCTGTCTGTTCTGATGGTGTTTGTGAGCCCCGTGTCTCAGCCTCCGAGTTACTATGGGCTACTGTGCCAGCTGGGCCTCCTGACTGGCACCATTACTGATTTTTGGTAATCTCCAGAGCTCTTCTAGTCAGTTAACACGTAATCGTCTTAAAAAGAGTGAGGGAGGCCTGGGACTGTGGCTTCAATGGTACAATGACAACCCAGACTCCCCTGGCAAGGGGCTGAAGCCTTGCTGTTCTTGAGGTCCCCCTCCCGGACCTGTTGCCCTGTTCCACCCAGCACACACTTGAGGAGAGTGTCCACTCCTCTCCAGGAGGCCCCTGCTGAGCCCTATGGACTCAGGCACCTGCTTTCCCATAGAGCGGAGACTAGTGGGGCCATGGAGTGTGCAACCACTGAGACTGAGGCCTGTGAGGCCGTAACCAGAGGCCTGCAGGGAGCAGCCTTAGCCGTCCTTTAAGGTTTCTGGGTGGAAGCGCTCTGCATATGTGCCGGGGAGGGAGGGAGGAGCTGGCCAGGCAGGGTGGTGGGAACAGCGTAGCGGTCAGGGGAAGAGCAGTGTGGTCTGGCAGGGATGCTGTGTGTGGGTCTGCTTTGGGGGGGGCTCACCTTCATCATCAGCACGATGGTGTTAAGAGCGATCATGGCCATGATGGTGTACTCAAAGGGCGGGGACACCACGAACTGCCACATTCGATACTGGAAGCTCTGCTTGTTCTGGGGCATGTGCCTGGTCAGCGGCTTGGCACTGATGGCAAAGTCGATGCAGGCTCTCTGTGGGAGATGGCAGCGCCTGAGAGGGGCTGACAGCAGGGAAGCCAGCTGCTCACAGCCTCCCGGCACAGCTGCCCAGATCCCTCACTCTGATGGCCCCAGCTGGGTACCCGCAGTCTCCTAGGACTCCTCACAAACCTGAGTTCTGTTGCTTATATCAACTTGGGGAGTCACCACACTGTCGCCCCGCTTCTCTCCTAGAACCTCCCTCGCAAGAAGTCATCCACAGTACCAATTTGAGGATGTGGAAACCAGTTCTGAGAGGCTGGGCCTGAGGCACAGCTGAGAAAAGCACACACTGTGAAAATCAGCATCTGACAGCTCCTTGTTTTTTTTTTTTTTTTTTTTTAATTTCCTCTCTTCCTTCCTCCCTTTCCCACACACTTCCCCCAACCCCAGGATTTTATGTTGCCCATCCTGGTTCAAGTTGCCTATGTCATCAAGATGATATCCTACGGTGCTGGGGACAGGAGGCTGGGGCTTCCAGGACTCCAGGCAAGGGCTCTACCCCTCAGCTACATTCCTAGTGGCTGTCTCTCTTTTTGAGGGTCTCTGTAGCTCTTGCTGGCTTCTAAACAGTGATCCTCTTTCTTGCTCCACCTCCTGAGTACTGGCAGGACAGGTCTGCCAAGTGTCCAGCTAAACTATTCTTTCTGTCTGTGAGGGAGGCTGTGGGACACAGAGAGGGTGGCTTTAGGAGGAAGAAGAGCTGAGCTACAAAACTACAAAGGCTGAAGCCATGGGGGACTGGCGTATAAAAAAGCTGTGAGGAACTTGTCTCCTTGGAGACAGGTGCTGGAGAATAATACAGGGACAAGTGTTACTGAGGGAATCCTGAACTTGCTTTGTAGACCAGGCTGGCCTCAAACTCATGGAGGTCCCTGAGAGCTGGGATTACAGATGTACACCATTGTGCCCAGTTTCTCCCATAATTCTTAATGACTCCCACAAGTAGGTAAATCAGGTTTGCAAAGTGCTGAAGCAATTGAGGAGAAAAAGGGGAAGCAGGCAAAAGGGCCTGGCTGCGTCACTTCAAGGCAAATTTATATTGAGATTGAGTTCTGAAGGAAAACTAAAGAAGCCAAATCCAGTGCTTGTGAGACCCTGTAAGTCCTTACACCGAGCAACAGTTCACTGAAGGGAGGAGGGAGGAGTGACTGCCAGTGTGGGTGAAAAAGACTAAACATGGCCTGAGGAGGCTGTCCCCTTGATCCATGAGCGCCTGGGCCAATCAGGGAGAGCCTGTCCCATTGAACCCATGGTGGGTAGGGAGGCCCATAGAAGACTAGCAGGTTCCCAAGATGGAGAGCTGGCACAGTTCACGGACAATTACACATTAAAACACCGAGTTTAGGAGCCTGCCCTGTGCATGCTCTACCCAATGTCACTCTTTCCACAAAACCACTACTACAAAGGTTGGGACCTCTGTATGCCATGGTGGCCCTCGCTAATGCTTCCTTTTAGCGTTTCCCTTAGCTTCTGACTCTCACAGTTAGCGGCACTTGGAGTAGATGGCAGGTGACGTAAGAGATCCTGGCCGCTCTCACAGCAAGTCTCGTTTTATAATGCTAACCCTTGAGTGTCCTACAGGTTTGTCAAAGCACCTGGAAGAGCAGGGAAAGCAAGGAAAGGGTTTGAACAAAAGCCCCCTGCATGGATGGGAAAGGCATTCTCAGAGGCCACAAACCTGCAGAATGAGAACCTCAGTAGCAGGAGTGGGCTTCCTCCCTGTGAGTTGTTGGCCAGGAAGTTCCCTGAGGCCCCCAATGAATAAAGACCATTGTCACTGCTCTTGGTTGCATGCCAGCAACGATAAGACCCTGTGCCTGAGAACACAGTATGCTGAGGTTTCAGGACATGGATGGATAAAGATACGGCTAACCGGAAGCTCCTTCACTGTTGGTGGCTGGTTCTTCAGTACTGGGAAGAACAGGTTGCTGAGGAAGGATCATCACCAATGGTCCTGCTCTGCTCTGGACCCCAGGTCTATAGTACCCCCATACCAGCCAAAATGTGCCTAATGGTACAATGTCAGCATGACAGTTATGGGTGCAACTAACTGCTATCTGACTGTATTTAAGGCCTGTTTTGCAGGCGAGAACCGCATCTGTTACTGCAAGTCAGGACAAAGTATATAGCTGGTCATAAGCCCCAGTGGATAGCCCACTGCCATCGATCAACACAAGGGATGTGCTGTCTTCTGAGCATGTGTGGTCCATGCCGACATATGCCTCTGTTGTCATTTTCGGGCTCCTTCTCTTCTTCTTGTTTGTGTTTTAGACAGGGTTTTTCTGTGTAGCCCTGGCTGTCCTGGAACTTGCTCTATAGACCAGGTTGGCCTTAAACTCACAGTGATACATATGCCCGTCTCTGCTTCCTGAGCACTGGGATTAAAGCCGTGCGCCACCACTGCCAGTCTGACACTTTTTTTTTTTTTTTTTTTTTTTTGTAGTGAGTGATGGTTATTGCAGAGATCCAAAACTAGTGAAGTTTCAAAGAGTAAGTGTCTGTTTGTGGCAAAGAAGTGTTCCAATACTCAGCTATCAGTGGAGGAAATCAGGGACCTGTATCCCCAGACCCAAGGCTTAGACAACACTGGTGAAGAGGAGGCAGGAAAAAAATGTAAGCACCAGAGGAAGGTGTGCAGTCATGCGTCGCTCTTTTCTATTAAAAACTCTCTTCTTCTTTAAGCAAAGAGGAAGGTTCATAAGGATCAGGAAGTTCAGGAAACTCACATGACTCAGGAAGCTCAGGTAACTGACAAATTTAAGGAGCTTAGGAAACTCATATGAGCTGGGTAGCTGTGGTGTAAACCTGTAATCCCAGCACTCAGGGAGGCAGAGGCAGATGGATCTCTGTTACTTCAAGGCCAGCCTGGTCTACAAAGTGAGTACAATGCTACACAGGGAAACCATGTTTCAAAAAACAGTGAACTCCTATGACTGAGGAAGCTCAAATAGCTATATTCAGTAGGCCTCTCCACAATGTTACATACCTAGAAAACTGCTGGAGAGGAGACTTTCCAGGGAGCTGCCTGAAAATTGTGTAGAGATTCCAGGAAGGGACACAGCTATCCTGAGTGGCCGCTCATGCGGGATTTTTAGTGATGTAGCTGTCTTTAAGCCACTTTAAGCAACTCTGTTTCTGTAAGTGACCCCAATATACTCACTGATTCATACAGCTAGACCTGGGAGGGACTCTCTCTTTGTTTTGTCTTTGGCACACTGTTTCCTTAGAGAAAATCATACAGTCACTCTGGGAGGAACCAAGGGCTATACCACCAGATACTATCCTTTGCTCTGAATCATCTTGGAAGAAGGTTGTGTCCTAGCTTGGCCAACAAGAATAAACAGTGCATGGACAGGACCATTGAACTGGACATGCATCACAGCATGAAATCAATCCCTTTGTGGAAACATGGGGCTGCGTGTTATTGCAGCATAACCTGATCTGGACTGACTGATACTTCCTCCTGATGTATGATGTGTGCATTTAATTCTTTTCCTGGAAACCTAAAGGAGAGCCATCTTGCAGACTGTACCCTGCTTGGGAACATTTGCTGTTGTTCTATTCCCATTTTTTTATTTTTTTTTTTTCTACAAGTTGGTTTTGTTAGGTCTCAAACCTGGAATAACTGGCGGACCTGGCCTCAAGATTCTCCCAGTATCCCTCATAGCTATTACAGGGTATGCATGGCTAGCTTACTATGCCCCCTACCATAAACTTGTCCAGCCCAGGGGCTGGGCTGCCCTTCCCCCAGCTGCCTTTCCCTATATAATCCAGCCATTTTGGTTACTCGGTCTTTTGGTCTACAATTTACTCTCCTGTCCAGTTTCTTGATCCAGGCTTGGTAGCTCTTCCTTCCTCTTCCCCATCTTCTCACATAGCCTGGCTCAGGGTCATGTTCACTTTGGATTCTCCCAGATGTCCTTTCTCTGGCATATGCTCTCCCTTTTATCCCTTCTCTTCCACCATACCCAGAGGCAGTCATGTCCTTTCTTTTTGTTTCTTTTTTTTTTCCATTCAGATTTCTTGCTGTACATCTCTCTCTCCCTCTGTGTGTGAGTGTGTGTGCTGTGTACCAACTTGTATGCAGGAAACACAACTAGAGAGTGGTACCTCATTTTTTTCCAGGCTGTACTCCTCCATCATCTTGTCTCCCTGCTCCTGAAAGGTGATGATGATCAAGGCCACGAAGATATTGACAAAGAAGAAGGGAAACACTACAAAGTACACCACGTAGAAGATGGACATCTCCATGCGGTACCCGGGGCTGGGACCCTGGTTCTCAAAAGTGGCATCCACTGAGTGCTTGAGGACCCTATGAAGTATTGGAAGGAGACAGGGGAGCAACAGAGGATGGAGAGGGCAGGGACACAGGAGCGGAGGGAACAAGAGAAGATGGAAAAGAAACAAACCCACTCAGTGACTTCTGAGAAGCATGGCTCAATTATGTGTCAGATTAATGCTGAACTTTGCACTCTTTTTCCGAGCATCTCTTTGGGAGGTCATTGTTGGCTCCATTTTGCACACAAGGAAATTGACATTCAGCAGTTTGAAGAGATTCAAAAGTCTATGGCCATACCACCCTGAACATGCCTGGTCTTGTCTGATCTCGGAGAGACTCAGACAGAAGTGGTCATGCTTTGTGGTGATGGATGAGGTAGGGCATCATGGAAACAGGCATCGGTCAGTGTGGGTTTTTTAAACTGTGAGTGTGACGAAGGTTCAGTAGCAATGCATGTGGTCCAAACACCTTTGTACATACACGTAAGACGTGCACTGCTCAAAAAGTCTCTTGGCAGGGCTCAGTGTCTTGAATGTGTGAGGTCCTGGGTTCCATTCCCAGCATTGCAAAATAATAATTAAAAAGTTCTGTGTTTGATGTATGCAGTGTTCATGACTGTCTTTTGCCTTGTAAATAATCTCTACTCAAAGAACAAGTTTGGTATAATAGCAGATGTGATAAATGCATTTGTTCATCATGATGAGCATGGGTACTTTGTTTGGACAAGTCATTAGTGTGGCTACGACTTTTCTATTTTCAATTATGTGTGTGTGTGTGTGTGTGTGTGCGCGCACACACACACACTTGAGGCATATGAGTGCTAATACCCACAGAAGCCAGAAAAGGACACTGAATCCCCTGAAGGTGGAGTTATAGACGGCTGTGAGCAATCTGACTTGGGTGCTGGGAACTGTCCAGGTCTTCTGTAAGAAGTGCAAGCATTCTTAGCCACTGAGCCCCAGTATTTCAATGTGTTTATTTCTGTGTGCATGCCTGTCATGTGTGTAGGTGAAGGTCAGAGGGCAACTTTTGAGAGTCGGTTCTTTCCTTCCACCTTTTATCTTCGGGGCTCTCTCACTGACCCTGGAGTTTGCTGATCTAGCCAAGCTGGACAGTCATCAAGCTCCTGGAACCTACCTCTCTCTGCCCTTTGGTGTTGGGGTTAGACATGTGTGCCTCCATGCCTGGCTATTATGTGGGTGCTGGAATTCAAACTGAGGTACTTTATCAACTGACCCATCCCTCCAGCCCTGAAGCTCTTTCTTTCTTTTTAATTTCATTTTTAAAAACATCTTAAATTATGTGTATGTGTGGGTATATACACACAAGTGCAGTACCCGCAGAGTTCAGAGGCATCAGATCTTTCCAGGTAACACAGGTGGCTCTTAGCCTGATGGTCTTCCAGGTAAGCATCAAGTCCTTTCAGAGTCACCTCCCAGCCCTGTATTTTTGTTGTTGTTGTTGTTGGTTTTCCGAGACAGGGTTTCTCTGTGTAGCCCTGGGTGTCCTGGACTCGCTTTGTAGACCAGGCTGGCCCTAAACTCACAGAGGTCTGCTGCCTCTGCTGCCTGTGTTGGGATTACAGGCGTGCACCACTGAGCTGAGCTGTCCCTGTATTGTTTTGAGTCTCACTGTATTGTCTGGCGCTCACTGTGGCCTCAAGCTCACAGAGATCCCTGTCCCCTACCTCTGCCTCTGAGGATGCTGGGTTTAAAGGTATGGCCACCAAGAGTAGTAAGGCTGCTGGTTTTATGTTTGTGTTCACATTTGCAGTGCTGGGGGAGGAACTGGAGCTTCCCAACAGTAGGCCGGAGGTCAGCATTAGAGTGACACCCACAGCCCCATGGTGCAGCCCCTACACTGTGAGGACTGCATCACTGGAACAGCCTGGCACAGGGCCAGGTTCCGATGCCCCTGCTCTCCCCCTCCCCCTCTGCTCCCCTGCTCCCGGGGCTCCCAGCCCTTGCCCCTCATGGCGGGCCACTCACTGCGGCCAGCCCTCTCCCGTGGACACTGTGAAGAGCGTGAGCAGGGCCCAGAGCACGTTGTCGTAGTGGAACTCGTACTTCTTCCACTCTCGGTCCCGGGCCTTCACCTCATTCTTCTCGTACAGGAGGTACTTGCCTCTGTCACAGAGAGCTGGTTAGTCAGTGGCGTCACCACCCCCTCAGGCCATTTGTACTGTGGGGAGGCAGCTGCACAGCATTGTCCCTGTGGGAGCTGAGACCCCAGCCTGAGTATGGGTGTGGGGACACAGAAAGGATGGGGAAGCAAACATGGGGACACCCTATTTCAGGGTGCTCACAACTCAGGAGGCAGTGGCTGCTTCTTTTAGAGCAAGGAGGAGTGCGTTTCAAACACCACCCAAGACTCTATGATCTCACTGTGTAGCCAAGGCTGGCAGGGAACTCTGGCCCTTCCTGCCTCAGTGTCCAAGCAGTGGGATGACAGGCCTGTGCTGCTGTGCCTGCGGAGCATCTGAACAGGGCTGCTCAGATGCCACCCAGGAGGGACTATGGATTCATCTCCCTCTTGACAAAGTCGCTGGGAGATTAAAATGGCTTAACCTGGTCTGAAGAGATGGGGTGGGTACCCAGATAATCCTCATTTGCTTTTCTTTCCTGAGACAGGGTCTCTCTGGTCTGGACAACTCCATCATGCCATCTCAGCCTCCCCCGGGCTGTGATACAGCTCCGTGCCTCACATTACCTGGGTATTTTGGTTGGTTGATTGACTGACTGACTGATTATAAGACAAGTGCTCACTCTGTCTGTCTGTTTTCGAGACAGGGTTTCCCTGTATATCTCTGGCTGTCCTGGACTCACTTTGTAGGCCAGGCTGGCCTCGAATTCACAGAGATCCACCTGCCTCTGCCTCCCAGAGTGCTGGGATTACAGGCGTGCACCACTGGGCCTGGCTACAAATGCTCACTTTGTAACCCAGGCTGGTCTCAAAACTCAGCATGATCTTCCTGCCTTAGCCTTCTGAGTGCTGAGGTCCTGACTTCAGTAACTCTAGACCAGGTCCACGCTGACCCTCTACCTCCGTGTCTGGACTGTAGACCCTGTACTTCACCCTCCCCTGCATGGTGTCCCAGAGATCGTGGCCCACCCACCGACAGTCTCTTTCAAACTCCTTAGACTCATCCGTGCAGTGGAAGAATTTGCCCTTGAAGAGTTGCACGGCCACCACAGCAAAGATGAACATGAACAGCATGTACACAATGAGGATGTTGAAGACATTCTTGAGTGAGTTCACCACGCAGTCAAACACGGCCTGCATTGGAAGAGGAGGTGTGAGCGCAGGAAGCATGGCTGTTCCCTTAGCAACCAAGGCACCTGCCAGGTCTAACAGCTGGGTTGAAAACACTGGGGGAAGGGGGATTCCACGTGTGTACGGACTTTTCCCTCACCCTTGCTACCTAAGAGAAGTATGGCGGCTGTGCGCACAGCAGGTGTGCTATGCCAGGCACCTCATGACCATTCACGGCTGGGTCTCATGTAGCCCAGACCTTAAGAGGATGACCTTAACTTTCTAATCCTCCTTGCCTCCACCAGTTTGAGTCACTGGGTATGGAAACCAGAGCTTGAACAGTAGGCAAGCATACTGCCAACTGAGATACATCCCCACCCCACCCCGCTTCTTTAGATAGTCCTGTTGGCCTGCAACTTGTGCCTCCAGAACTAGGCTCTGCCCTGTATCTCCCCCCTCCCCACTGACCCATCAAAATGAGTGCCGACCTGGGTCAAGTTCTGCTAGTCGACTCCCTTTGCTGCCATCTGCTGGACAACTACAGCAACTACCTCTACATACAAAGGCCACGTCGTCAACGTAGTTTATTGGGATTGTCTTCCCTCACCCCCCCCCCCCCCCCGAGTGCTGGGATCCCGGGTGCACACTACTTTATCTGTTTCTCACTGTGATCTTCTGGAGTGGTGTGCAACCTTTTCATCTGTGTGTGGCCGGCTCGAGGGCCCATTCTCCCGACCCCAGGTCTCACCTTTAGCTTTGGCAGCCGCTTGATGGTTTTTAGAGGTCGTAGCACCCGGAGGACTCGGAGAGACTTAATGGTGTTTATGTCCTTTCCTTTGCTGTTGCCGCTGTTGAGGGATGTTAGGGTTGGGGAAGGGAAGAGATGGAGCGGAAGTCAGCCTGGGAAAGAGGGACCCACAACTCCACATGGACCCATTTATCTGGACCCAGGTCTGGGCTGAGGCAGGGCTAGTCCTTCCCCTTCTGACGGGTCTAGTTTTGCTCTGGAAACCAGATGGTTTTGAAGGGTCCGGCTCTCATTCTATTGAAGACCTTGCCTCTGCACTGACATTTTAAAAAATATTATTACTAAGTTTTTGAGACAGTGTCTTACTCTGTAGCTGTGGCTGCCCCGGAATTACAGAGCTCCTCCTTCCCCTGCCTCCTGAGTTCTGGGATTAGAGGTGTGCACTGCCATGTGCAGCCTTCTGCACCAACTTAGAAGAGTTGCACTGCCCTTTGTAGCCAAGCTTTTGGTCTGGAGGCTGGTGAACTGTTAGAAGAGCTCTACCCTCCTCCTGGAGGATTCAGGGTGCTTTCCCGCCCCTTGTACCCAACATGGCCTCAGTCTGCTGCTGCTTTGGTCTGCCAAGGTCCCTACATACCTTTGCCAGTGGTAAAAAGGGGGACCTGCTTGGGTTAACCATGCAGACCCCAAAGACACGGAGCTCTTAGCTACTCACAACTTGGCTCCATAAGGGGTTGGTACGGCATGGGGCCATCAAGAGCTTCAGGTTAATGGCTTCCACCCACACCCAGGGCCCAAACACAAATCCTAGAGTCACATTTGTCTGCGGTCGTCATCATTCCCAAGCCCCAGAGGGTGCTTTCCCAGGGTCCACGGTTCATTGCGGTCACCTCACAGCAGACCCTGTCACCTCATACATCTACTTCCCGTCTTTTGACACACACTGGTCATCATTCCACTCCGTTCCTGAGGGTCCTTCCCAAGTCTAAGTACCCCAAGGCAAGGAAGACTTTTTGGCTTGGCATGCCAAAGCCCTTTGCATTCTACTTCAGTTAGATTGGGTCCCTGCATGACCAACCTCTGGCCACAATCACTGGCTTTCTATTCTTTTTTGGTTTGTTTTGCTTTGTTTTTGGAGACGGGGTCTTACTGTGCAGCCCTGGAACACACTATGTAGACCAGGTCGGCCTTGAATTCAGAGACTTTCCCATTTTGTTGTTGTTTTGTTTTCATTTTTTTTCCTTGTGGGTTAAAAGATGTACACCACCATGGCCACCCCAAAACTTTTTTGTTTGTTTTTCGAGAAAGTGTTTCTCTGTGTAGCCCTGGCTGTCCTGGAACTCTATGGGCCAGGCTAGACTGGAACTCAGAGATCTGCCTGCCTCTGCCTCCCAAATGCTGTGATTAAAGCTGTGAGCTGCCACCACATGGCTAGCCAAAAACCTTTTAAATTACATTTATTTCTTTATTTTGTGGGCATGTGTGTGCCACAGCCTTCATGTTAGGGGAGAACCTTTGGGAGCTGCCTCTCTCCTTTCTCCAGATGGATCACGGGATTGACCTCAGGTCATCAGGCTTGGTCGCACGTGCCTTTACCAGCTCGGCCCTCTCTGTTTCACTTCCTTGAGACAAAGTTTTTCCATGAAGCTCATGTTGGTCTGGAGATCCCCTGAGCTCATGTTGAGTGCTAGGTGGCGGTGCGGCCACTGTCTGGTTGCACAGAGCCACACCACCTGCTCAGCCGTGCACGCCTCCCTTCCCTGCTGCCTCCTGCAAGAGCTCCAGGCTCTGTCAGCCTTCTTGCTATTCCAGAGAGATCTGATGGCAGACCCAGGCAGAAAGGCTGCTTCCTGTCTCGAGACAGGAAACCCTCAGAGGCCCAGCTTGCGATGAGTTCTTCTGTGTTTTCTCGTTAATCTTGGCTCTTGTTCCAGCTATTGACTTACAATTGGCAGGAGGTCTCAGGACACTCAAATGGTCCAAGGCTGCAGTCTCAGGGACAAATATGTCCATACTGGTTCCTGCCTCATTCCCGGGCAGATCTGCCCAGCGCCGGAGCTTCCAGTGGAGAACACTACTTCTTGGCATGGTGAGAAAAGCTGGTTTTGGCTCTGTGTGCACCCACAAGTTAACCTCAGGTGTCACCCACCTTATTTTTTGAGGCATGGTCTCTCACTGGCCTGGCGCTCACCCAGGAGGATAGGCTGGTCAGTGAGTCCCAGGGGTCACTGAGATTTATATCTGCATTCCACCATGTCAGGATGTTTACATAGGTTTAGTGACTGATGCTTGCATTTCAAACATTTTATCAACTAAATGTCTGTTTTTGTTTTGAGAAAGGGTCTCTATATAGCATGGCTGCTCTGGAACTATGTACACCAGGCTGACCTCAGACTCAGAGATCCCCCTGCCTCTGTCTCCTGGGTGTTGGAATTAAAGGTGTGCACCACCACACCTAACTCTGTTATTTCCACTTACATCCTTTTGTACACTGATCACTAGATCATTGTTTCTTATTTGTAACTGCTTTATATATATAAAAAAGAACACTGACATCTATCTATCTATCTATCTATCTATCTATCTATCTATCTATCTATCTATCTATCCATCCATCCATCCATCCATCCATCCACCCACCCACCCACCCACCCACCCACCTACCTACCTAGAATCTATCTGTTTTACTGCTTTTGAGGCAGGGACACAGTATGTAAATCAGGCTAACCTGAAACTTAAGATTCTTCTGCCTCAGAGAGCGAGACACATGCTACCATGGTGGGCTAGAAAGATCTGCCAGGCAGATGTTCCTCAGAGTGATGGACACGTCCTCCCATTTTCCAAACCTCAGCTGTTCTGGTGACCTCTCCCTGGCCCCTTGGCCATGAGAGGAAGAACACTCCCTGTCCCTTATGTTCTAGGCAAGAACTAGTGGGTCACAGTGGCAGGTGATGCTGTGAGCCTACATGAGTCCTCTGGCTCTGGGGAGCCAGCTCTGGTCATGGTAAGCAGCAGGACACCAGCAAGAACAAAGGCCACAGAAAGAGAAGGCCAGAACCAACATGGCTGCGAACAGGGCACAGAAGACAAGACAGAGAGAGAGAGAGAGAGAGAGAGAGAGAGAGAGAGAGAGGCACTTTACCGTGTACTGCTCCTGGTGAGGTGGCGTCGGAAGGAGAGACAAATCGTGAGCGGCCTCAGAGAGAACACAGGACACGCACAGACACACATGGGCGCTGGACTCTGGGACCCTGGGGGACCAGGGGAGCCAGCTCCTTCGTCAGTCTCTGCACTGGGCAAGACACGGCCCTGACAGCAGCTCACAAAGGCAAATTTCCATGGAGCAAGGTGGGCCCGGGGCTGCCTATTACCCTGGTGAACTAGCCACTCAGTCACTGCCAAGAGCAGGATTGCTTCCTGCAGCGGTCCTGGCATGGGGGCCCAGCTTGCTGTAGGTGAGCTGTGTGGGGAAAGGACGGACGGAGGTTTGAATGCTGCCTTGACTGCCAACAAGCCTCATCTGGAAAATGGGCGTGGCTTCCTGATGCTTCAGTATCATCAGCCTCCACCTTGGCTTCTATTGACTCATGTGAAGATGTAGCTCAGGTTGGCCTGACTAACCGATCTTCCTGCCTCAAACTTCTGAGTAGCTGGGATGCAGATGTGTGCGTAACTCTGGTGGGCAGAGTTTTCTGGAAGGAGAGTTGCGGATGTTGGGATCCAGAGCCTCACACATGCCAGATCAGCATTCTACTGCTGAGCATTCCATCCCCCCCCCCCCAGCCCCTTACCGGGGAATTCTGGGTAGGGGCTCTACCTCTGAGCCACATCTCAAGATTCCTCTGTACTTTTGTTCTAAGATAGGGTCTTGTTAAATTTCCTGTCTCGTCCTCACCTAGGATTCTTGGCATCACATTATGCCTAGCAATTTTCTTTTTTCAGCCAAGCGGCTTAATGCCTATGATGTCTCTGCTGAGCTTAGGGTGCCCGGACCACCTGTAAGCCTCCAGGTCCTTCCCCACATTGTGGGGAAGGTGCTTCCTGTGGCACTGGCATCTACCTCAACTTTTTTTTTAATCCAAAATTCCTTAACAGCAGGCCAGCACTACCCTGAGCTGAGTCCCTAGCCAGACTTTACCTAAAGTGCTGCATTTACCTGCAGGAGAATGGCGCCATTGGGCCCATTTTCCAGATGAAGAAGCTGAAGCCCAGACTAGGAGAGTGACTTCCCCAAGGGCATACAGCCAAAAAGTGGCAGACTGAGATTCAAACCCACGTGCATGCATCTTGAGCTTGAGTCTTCCTTCCCTTGGGGCAGGGCTGTTTTGAGGGTGTTGCTGGAGGGCCTCCTTTGGTTGTTGGGAGTGTGGCTCTGAGGGTTCAGGAGTGGCTTGATCAAGGTACACTCTGCCAGCTCTGCAGGGCTCATGACTTGCCCTGGGGGAAGAGGCGGGGGTACCTGATGGACTCTTGGCAGTGAGGGTGGGATCATGGACTAGGAGCTGCCGGGAGATGTCAGCTGGCTGCTCCAAAGCATGGGCACTAAGCGTGATGTCCCTCATGGCGACAGTGTGTGAGATGGCGCGTTAGTGATGGCGCATGGAAGATGGAGCATGGTTAGTGGACGGAGCACACATATATGCACACTCACACCTATACCCACACAAATCACACATACAGATGTGGGTGACGAGAGGAGGGTGGGATTGTTCAGAGGGCTTCAGCACTTCTCTGGGAGAGCACAGGCAGGCAGACAGAGGTGTCCTTGCCTAAATCCTCTTACCCCAGAAGGGAGCAGCCTCCCTCCTCCTCCTTCCTGCTCCGTGGTCTCCCAGGCCTTTCAGGGAAGAAAGGACCCAGCAGGACAGGTTTCTGGCCTAGATCCCACTCTCCACACACCCTGCCTCAGCCTCAGTTTCTCATCTGTGGAATGGGGATCACTAGCCTGGTACAACAGCACTGTAGATGACATGCTCCAGGTGCTTCCTCCCATTCAAGCCGTTGCATCGTGCTGCATGGGGAAACTGAGGTACAGAGAGGCTACCAGACTTGGGGGACTTCTTTCCTTCCTTTTCTGAGACATTTATGGTCATATCAGCAATCCTCCTGCTTCAAGCCCTCAAGGGGCAGGATTACAAACGCTTGCCACCACACCCAGCTGGAGGTACCTCTCACTGACAGGCTCATGGGACACACAGAGCAAAGGGAAACAGCAAGCTGACGCTCTACCATGACACCGACAAGGAGACACCAAGCAGAGACCTCACAAGTCGAGACACCTCAGGCACAGGAGATCAGAAGCCTGTTCCTAGAGACTGTAGGGCAAGGGAGGGTCCCGAAACTTCCCTTGGGAAGCAAGTAGCAACTGGCAACTCTTTTGCTGTTGGGTATACAGGAGTGGTTTAATCAAGGTACCAGGTTACACTGAGCCGCAAGTCCTGTCTTTGTGGCAGGGTCAGGCGGATTCTTGGTAGTGAGGTGGGGCACCATAGCGGTCGGGTGCCTCCTCTCACCCCATTTCGAGATCCGCAACTGCCAGCTCTGGGCTCACGCTTCCAACGCTAGTTTCTGTGAGAACTGCCAGCCTGCACAGGCATGTGATGCCCCTGCTCTGACCTCTTGCACAGGAATGGGGGGGGGGGCTAAAAACAAGGACTTCTAGGCACACAGGGTAGCATTATGTCTGCACTGAATTCATGAGAACATTAAAAATTTGACCATAGGGCTCAGGTCTCAGTGCAAAGGACCCCTGCTCTACCCTCATGACTGGAAAAAAGAAAAGGGAAAGAAAATAAAGGTGGACAGGGAGAAGGGGAGAGAGAGAGAGAGAGAGAGAGAGAAAGGGAGCCTGGCCGAGTCATGCTTGCAGGCCATGGAGACACTCAAGTCCACCACAACCGCAGCTTCCTGTGCTCTAAGGAGAGCTGGGAGGCCTGCTGCAGCCTTTCACCTGGCAAGGGCAACAGTCTGGGCCCTCTGTGACAAAGCATGCACTCAGTGCCAGGTGAGAGAGCTGACTGAGAGGCCACTCCCACCGAGAAGCAAGCAGTAAGACAATGCAAAGAAAACATTAGGCCGGATGAGGTGGGTCAGGGTCCCTGGGAGACCTTCCTTTCTGGGAATGACCCTGTGGTAAGGCACAGCCTTGGTTCCCAAGATGGATTTCTGGACCAGAAGCAAGTCAGGCCTCTCTCCCTGACACTGATGGCTGCTGCGAGACTGCGCTGCCACGTGTGCTTTGAGGGATCTCTGACTAGACCTAGACTTGGCTCCATCTCAGGCTGGGGCCAATGCTGGGCGCCATCTTGGGATGGGTGCCTAAAAGCTTGGGTGGCAGAGCTCATGTGCCTTTGGGAATGGCCATGAGATTCTAGATAGCACATTAAGTGGATGCTTGGAGCTCAGGCGGCACTCTAAAAGGGCACTCTGAACTTGGGTACCATCTTGGGGTGACAGCCAGATTTAAGGCAACATCTTGGGATGGCTTCTTCTCCCTTGAGTGTGTTTGAGATAGCACCCTAGAACTCAGCTGCCACCTTAGGATGGCCACTTGCTTCTTGAGCACCATCCTAAATGGCTTTCAAGAATCTGGTACTCCATTTTGGGATGGCTGCCTAGACCTAAGGGGTCATTTTGGAATGGCTATCATCTTGGAGTGGCTACAAATGTCATCTTGGAATGATGGCAAGCATTCATGGGTCATCTTGGAATGGGCGCTCTGCTCTCCGGCACCACTGTGAAGTGGGTTGCTGTCTTGGAATGGCTAACTTGGAACTTGGGTGACATCTTGAAATGGTTGCCATTTTAAAATGGTCACTCAGAAACTGGGAGCCATATTTGAAGCTGCCACCTATATCCAGGGTGCCACTGTGGAGTGGTGCCATGGTACACGACCCTGTGGAGAGCAGGGTATCCTGGCAGCCTTGGGAGGAGAGACACGTAGGAGGCCACTGGCTGTATGGTGAAGAGCCTGGGGGACAGGTGGTATGAGACTCTCATGCACACTTGATTTCTGATTGTCTTTGGGGCACCCCAAAGAGACAAGATGTAGGGGGATTGTGGGAAGGAAGATGAGATGTCCCCAGAGGCAAGAATATCGTAAGCAGCACAGCAAGAGGCCACCGCCTTGCTGTGGGAGGAGTGGAAGGTGGCTCTGGGCCCTTCTTCCCTTCTTTTATGGTGATGACATGCACAAAGCCAGTTGCAGCTCCACTGGGGAATGCCACCCCCACTGACCCACAGCTCTCATTCCCATCTCTGAACCCCAGAATATGACCCACATCTGACAGTGGGACTTAGACTGGGGCAGGGGTGGGGGGCTTGCAATGGAGACTTACGTGAAGGCAAAGGCTACCAGGGCCCCACTGACCACTATGAAGTCCAGAATGTTCCACAGGTCACGGAAGTAGGCCCCCTGATGTAAGACGAGGCCCAGGTCGATCATCTGTGGGGAGAGGACAGCGTGCTCGGAGGCCTCAACCTTCCCCAGGACAACACCCAGTTGCGGCAGCAGTGGCTGGCAGGATGGTAGTAGGCCCTTTTGAGGAAAGGAGCCTGGCTTGACAGTTCACAAGCGTAAGTGTCAGAGTGCACTCTGTCTGAGCCCCGACAGGAGGCCATGAATCAGCAATGTGGTAGACTTTATCTCTGGAACTTCCCAAGAATCTGTCTGCCTCTCACTTCCCCCTTGGTGACCTGTGGTTCCTGCCCTGACCACAGCCTACTTGGTCCCTGACAGTCCTCTCATCTGTCACCTCCAGCTGCCAGAGGGTGCTGGAGGGTGCTCAAGCAGAGCCCCTCTTCCACCCAGAGCTCTCCTCCACAGCTCCCACCTGCTCTCCTTCCCCTCCCTTCCCCTGCCTGGAATGCCTCTCACCCTCAGCATGCCTCACTCACTCATGCCTCACGGAAGGTCTGTGAGAGCCCCGCCTCCGTTCTTACCTTGATCACCATCTCAAAGGTAAACACGCCTGTGAAAACATAGTCAAAATATCGCAGCACCTGCAGGGACAAAGGCAAGTGGACCCAATCACAGGCTCGCCCAGCCTCACACTCCCGAGAACCTGCCAGTAGCCCACTGGGGTCTGGGAACCACTCGGAAAACCCCTCAAAAGTTGGGCTTCCACCCCGTGGACTGGACAGGGCCAAGCACTGCTCAGCCACTCCCAGGAAGGGTCAAACTGTGTAGGTTCTGAATGAAAGTGTCCAGGAGATGGCAGCAAATCCTACCCACTTACTCTTCTATTCACCAAGAGCATCTTCATGTCCTCCAAGCCCCTTGTGGTCTATGAGGGCCTTGGAGGAGTCCATCCACTTTGGGGGTGACTGTCCTTGGGGTGGTGGGGTTCACTGGCCAGTGTTCACACCCCAGGCTTCCCTGTTTCCAGGAACATCTTCTAAACTCTGGGGCCATCTGCTCATCTGGCTCTTTCACTCTGTGGGTACCACTCAGTCTGACAATTGACCCTCCTCTCCACACTCACCTGTCCTGCCCAGAGCTGGGCTCTAGTTGCTAATACGCTCAGATTAGCAATGGCCTTTGTCCCTGTCCCTAGCTGCTGGACGGACTCAGGACACCCATGTGTGTGGAAGGGTTAAGGTGGGGGCTGTAGGTTCAAGGGCTGATAATTTCTGAACATGACCAGCTGAGTGTGGTATCTGGCTCATTCAGTTCCTCTGCTTCCAATCCTTCATGGATCCCGCCTCCCTTAGGATAAAAGACCTGCTTGGCCATGCATTCCAAACCTTTAAGAAAGCCTGGGAGGTGTGTTCATGACCATCTGAATCAGGCCCTGAAGCAGCCTCCCAGCTACTTCCCTGTCTCACAGATGACCACTTTTCTCCTTGCTCATTCCTGGATCTCATCTGATTCCTGCTCTCTCTTTTGTTATGGCATGGGTCAAATATCACTTCTGTAGTGATACCTTCCATGGTCACCTGTCAAAATGTTACCTAGGAGCTGGTCATGTGGCTCAATAGGTAGGGCTCCTGCCTAGATTTCCCCAGTGAGGGGGTGTGGGTGTGGCTCAGGGGTGGAGCCCCTCCTAGGATACTCCAGTGAGGGGCTGTGGATGTGGCTCAGGGGGTGGAACCCTGATTTTAAAATCTGCCATGGAGGGGCTGGGGGGGTGCAGCGGAGTGTCTTTGTTTAATCTGTAGCTTCCGATGCAGAGCAGAGCCCGGACTCACATTGTTGCGGGGTGCGTTGGGCTGCACCGGGTCCTCTGCAGCCAGCGCGATGCTGCTCATGGCAATGACCATGAGGATGCACATCTCGAAGTAGCGCAGGTTCAGGATGTAATGGCACAGCCGGCGAAGGCTGCAGGCAGAGCAGGGAGCCACTCAGATCTCAGGTTCATGGGCCTTTCCCCTCATCTCATGTACAGTTCCACTAAAATGGTTAATTCCATTGCTCCTAACCATCTGTCAAGGACTCTCACAGGGGTGCTGGCTGTGCCCTACAGTCCAGCCAGCTGAAAAGCCTTAGCCGTTTGAGACAGCCATGCTGCCCATGGAAGAGCTCCTGCCCTCCAAACTCCTGGAGTTTGGAGAAAACCAAACTTTTGGGAAAAGCCAGGAGGGCTCCCCACTACTGATGATACCACAGGACATGGAAAGAGTCGCAAGGAAAGATTTACTTATTCTTTTAATTACATTTACTTATTTTGTGTTGGGTGGGGATTGTGCCGAAGCACGCCTGCGCAGCTCAGAGGACAACTTGTGGGAGTTGACTCTGTGGATCCTGGGATTTGAACTCAGGTTGGTAGGTTTGGCAACAAGTGCCCCTATCCACTGAGCAATCTCAAGGCCAGGTTTTCCATGTGTAAAATATTTTAGGGTCTAAAAAAAGGAACCAAGTGTGGTGACTCCTATCTGTAATCCAAGCATATGGGAGGCTGTGGCAAGGAATCACTAAGAGTTCAAGATAATCTGGACTATGACATGAGTTCAAGGCCAGTGTGGTCACAGAGTAAGATCTGGTCTAAAAACAAATCACACAGATAAAACACTCACACACAGAACAACACACACACATAACAAATCACACATATATACCAAAAAGTATACACAACAACAAATCACACCCCCCAAACAAAACACATCTACAAACACACATCGACAAAACATAAACACACTCACCAACAAAACACACATACACCAGCAAATCACATATACGCAAAACAATACACACACAAATACAACACCAACAGCACATAGGGAAACAAAGGGCGAGGGCCAGTGAGATGTAAAATGCTTGCCCTGCAAAGCTCGTGTCCAGGGCTCAACCACTGTGACCCAAGCGAAGATGGAAGAACAAGGACCCCAGCGCCCTCCGACCGCCACCCGGGAGCCATGGCACACACACCACACATACACACAGCAGTGATAAAAACCCAAACCAAATCCCATCGCTACCACCAATGGGAAAGTCTCTGGGGCTGGGGCTCAGCTGGGGGAGTGCTTGCCTGCCATGCACAAAGCCTGGGTCACACTGTGAACCCCGAGGTTGTGCTTTCTACTAAAAAAAAAACAAAAACAAACTTTTTAGTTGTGGTGTGGCTCAGCGTTAGCACACACCTCTAATCCAAGAGCTTTCTGCTTGAATATTGTAAACAGGATTAAATAAAGTCAACCATAGGTCAAGAGGCAGAGCAAGCAACCAGTTGACAGAAAGTGAACACAGGATTATTAAGAAAAACAAGACAAAACAAACAAACAAAAAAAAAACAGAGAGGAAGAGGAAGTCAGGAGGAGGGATAGAGAGATGCACAGGAAGTAGAAGGGAGGGACATTTAGTTTGAAAGGGGTGGTTTGAGACAGCATGGGAGAGGGGCCATTCCTTCTGGGGTGCTGGCTGAGGAGGAAGGTCGGCTGGACGCTTTCTCTGCCTCTCCAGCTAGCAGGCTTTCACCCCAGCCTCTGGCTCTTGAGTCTTTATTGTTAAAATCGAATGACTTGAGATTTTGTTAAAAACCACACCTGGGCCCATTCCCAGCACCACCCAAACAAACAAAACTGGCGGCTGTCACCAACAACCTGTTCTAGCTCAAGCTTCAGCTGCTCTCACTGTACTGATGTTAAGGAGCTTGTCTCAATTTTTTTTTTCTTTTAAATTTATAAAGCACTTAGAACAGTACCTGGCATTAGCTGCCACTTGAACATTTGTTTAGTAAAGAAGAAAAAGAGAACTTCAGAAAAAAGGTGATGTGCAGGACCGCAGAGCCTACGTCTTTGTGGTGCAATGGTTAGAGAGTTCAGTCACATGGCTGCCATGCAGGCCTCGCAGGCTGTGTACTGCACAAGGCAGACATTTCTAAAGGACGCCTCTCCTAGCACGGCACAGGCCTGGGTATTTATAGCAGTGGTCTTCCATCTCATGGCAGGAAGAGGTCTTTTCCAGAGCAGTGTATTATGACAAGTTATCTTCTGTGAGTGAAGCAAGAGGGCCCAGTTCTCAGCTCGTGAGGGTTGGTGCTGAGGGGATCTATTTCTCACTGTCTGCCACCCCCACACCAGGGAGGGAGCCCCGTTCACACACTGGGGAGGGAGCCCCCCACCACATGCCCATACTCACGGGTTGGTGGTGGAGAGGATGAACATGGAACTGTAGGGCGGCATGGGCTTTGGGCCGTCCTCCCCGGAGTCTGCCTCCTCTTCCTCCTTCTTCTCTTCCTCTTTCTTTGGCAGTGGGTCTGGGTTGGCATTTTTGTTTACTGTCGGGACAAGAACCAATGGGTTCCTCCATGATTTCCCACAAGGTCCAGGACCCCTGGCCATGCCTGGGCTGACACTAGGCCCCAGATGTTTGAGAAAGAGCTTCCTGTGAGCCAGGCATCACCTGACCCTGAACTTGGTGCTCATGATCTCCATCTGACAGATGAGGGGACCCAGGCACAGAGAAGTGAGTGGCTAGTCCAAGGTCACACAGCTGAGAAGCTGCAGAGCTGGTGTTGAACTGAGCAGTTTGGCCACAGAATACCAGCTCCCAAGCAATCCAGGGCAATGGAGACCCTTTTCTCCTTGGCTTCTCTGATGTACCTGGAACTGCCGGGGGTAGCTGCCCACAGCCCTGCTTCATACAGTGGAAAACTCAGAGCCCTGTGAGAGAAAGAGCGCCCAGTCCTGCCTGTGGCTCCTCTCTCATGGGCAGGCTCTCTGGTTGTTCATGGGCTAAGCCTCCCTGGGGGTCTGTTTCTTCATCAGACCATTAGTGCCCTGCTGAGGACCCACCACCATGAGGTCTGGCATGGCAGCACACACCTGTAGTCCTGGCACTGGAGAAGAGGAGGCAGGAAGGTCACTTCCAGTTTGAGGCCAGCCTGGGCTACATAGCAAGATGCTGTCTCAAAACAACAACAACCCCGAGCCAAAAACTGACTCAATTCCCTACAGAAATCTAAGCCATGTTGTCTTTGGGCCAAAGCCCCGGGTGACTAGAGAGATGAGGACAATCCAGCTGGGGCCACATTGGTACGGGAGACGTTTGGTTATCAAAATTGGGAGAAGAGTGCGCAAACACATTCTGAAGCTTGTGCTGCAATGACAGCCTGGCCCTTCAATTCACTACGAATACAAGGCCTTGCACGGGTGGCCTTGAACTTGCAAACTTTCTGCCTCCACCACGACTGAAGGTTGTCTGTGGTACTGGAGTGTGCTAGGCAAACACTCCACCAGCCCCTTCCCTCCTTCTGTGTCACCGAACTATTTACAGTGGGATGCTTCCTGCTGTGCTGGGTTTTGGACAGCAGTCCCTAAGCCTTCAAGCTGTCCCCAAGCCCCCAATTTCCATCAAGGGATTCCTTTTTCCACGGTGGCAGTGTGAGCTCTGTGGAGGGGGGGCAAGGCACAGAGGATGGCCACAGTCCCACACCACTGAGGGTCTACAGGGTCTGTGGTTTCTTCTTCCCACAGCTGTGAGCACGGACTGTGGCCAGGCAACCCTGGGCTCCTCACCTTGGACCACAGTGTGGTTGAGGGGCGGGCAGGCCGGGGGGATCTCCACCGCCATGTGCTCGGGTTTCCTGGCAGTCTTCGCTGAGTTGGGCTGGGTGCTGCTGGGGTTGGTGACGATAAGGCTGTTCTCGGGGGTCTTGGGGGGGCCGGGGTTGTTGGGCGCCCTGCGGCTGGCAGCGTTCTGGGGGTTGGTGGCCAAGGTGGGGCCAGGGTTGGTGCTGTTCCCAATCTCGGCAGGGCTTGGGGGAAGGCCGCTGTGGCCCAGGCTGTCGTGGGGACTGGCAGGCTCCCCGGTGGCCAACTTGTTATTCTTCATGTTGTCAAGGTCCTCAGCCAGTGGCAGGTCCTGGCGGCCAAGGTCCTGCTGGATTGGCCTGGTGGTGGACAGGTTGGGACCAGACATGGGGACCCCAGAGCCCTGATTCTCTCTAAGAAGAAGATCAAAGCAGAAGAGTGCATAGCGTTAGGACCAGCAGTGCAGCTGCCCAGACCACTACGCAGGGCCACCGAGCGGCACAGCACAGGGACCCACAGCACGGAGCGTATGCTGCACCTCCCAGCTCTAGCACCCACGAGGCCCAAGCTGCACCCACCCTGAAAAGAAAGGAAAAACAGCCATTTCCTGACTCTACACTTCATGGAGTGATACACGGCCCCAGGCAGGTCAAGGCATTAAGAACTCTTGAGGTAAGAGGGACCACAACCTGTGAACTCTTTGCAGCACTGAGGAGGACCCAGGGCCTCCGTATGCTGTGGTAGACCGTAACACTGAGCCACACCCCTCCCCTCACTAGGATTCCAGGCAGGGCTCTCCCTGACTCACACCCCTGGTGCTACTGGGGTTTTTTTCTGGCCCACTGTGCAAAGCCCAATCATAAATTTCCAATTAATTTTTTTTGTTTCTGTGTTTTGTTTTGTTTTTCCTTTTTTTTCTTTCTAGACAGGGTTTCTCTGTATGGCCCTGGCCATCCTGGAACTTGCTTTGTAGACCAGGCTGGGCTTGAGCTTAGAGATCCTCCTGCCTCTGCCTCATAAGTGCTTGGATCAAAGGCCTATGCTACAACTACCTAGTTTGTTTTTTTTTTTATTTTTTTATTTTTTATTTTTTATTTAGGGTTTTACTAAATAGCTCTGACTGTCCTGGAACTCACTATATAGACTAGGCTGGCCTCAAACTCACAGAGATCTGTCTGCCTCTGCCTTCCAAGCTCTGGGACTAAATATGTGTGCCACTATGCCCAGCTCAATTTCCAGTTAATTTTAATTCTTAAGTGTCTTCAAGAAAGATTCAAAAGATACAGAGAACAGAAGCTGGGCCCTGCCCCATAGTGCCTAGGAGAAGCGGCTGGCTGCATTAAGCTTGTCTTATGCAGGGTCCCACTGACAGCTGTCAGGGACTTCTCCTTTGGGGTATTCTCTACTGAGACCTAGGAATCTGTTCTAGACCATTTGGAGGCGATCATAAAAATAGCCCCCTTTACTGCACACTTTCTGCACGGCCCCCCAAGACCTTGTGCATTAACACAGCACCTGAGATGGATAACAGGCTCAGCATTCAACAGAACAGGAAACTGAGGCAGAGAAGGGAGGACGTTTATCCTTCATGAACCAGCCTGGTTGGGGCTGGGCTGGAATCTAGTCCTATCTAGAAACCTTTAAGCTCCAACATCACTCAGCAAAGAAAACAATTTGGGGTGCATGGAATGGAGGTGTTGAGGAGTGTGTGAAGGGCTGTGTGTTAAAGGATCAAAGTTCTCTGCAACACAGGCAGAGTAGGCCAGGAAAATCAGAACTGCAGCAACCCTCTCCTTGTACTAATGGGGAGTGGGTTGCCATGGCGACAGATGCAGATGGATCTAGGCTGCAAACAGCTGATCCAACTGGTCAGGAGACAAGTCCTAGAAGTGCCAGATGTTTGCCTTACCAGGAGTCAGGAGCTTGGCTTTGCTTTGGTCACCTTGGGGTACCATCAGGTTCAGCTGCCCCACATGGGCAAACCTGAGCCTAGCAAATATTGAACAGTGCAGGAGTAGTGTTCTCGTGCATGTTTCAGAGGGGACGAGAGATGATTACAGAAATGGGACTGGAGATAAGCAGAAACAGGAAAAATGGCTGTCAACATCCTGGATAATGAAACACACAGGGCAGGGCTGGGGAAAAGACCAGAGGACAACCAAAGGGAAGAAAAAAGAAATGCAGAAGCTCACGGGAGCTCCAAGCTCTCTGAAACAGAATAAAAATGATTCTCAAAACAGAATCTTTTAAAAAAGCGTTTCACTCTGTAGTCCAGGCTGGCCCCAAACTCTTGCCTCAGCCTCCTGGTTGCAGGTTTCTAGGCATGCATCTCTAGGCCAGCTCCAAGCTGTGTGATGTCTACCAGGGAGAGACTTCAGTGTTGTTAATACGGTGTGTGCACACTTACTGTGTGCTCACACGAAGCCAAACACTTGATGTAGCCTGGCTGGCCTGGAACTCACTCTGTGGACCAGACTGATCTCGAACTCACAGAGATCCACTGGCCTCTGCCTCCTGAGTGCTGAGAGTGTGTTCCTATGCCTGGTCAGTTGATATGTTCTTATTATAATTCACCCTTTCATATTCCGTATCTGTGGACTGAACTGGCTACAGACTGAAAAAGATTTAAATAAAAATATTTTTTATTTTATGTGTATTTGTTATGCCTGTATGCATGTCTGTGTGCCAATGGGTACCTAGTAACCCTGGACACCATAAGAGGGCATCAGATTCCTTGGAACTGGAGTTACAGAAGGTTGTGAGCCATCGTGTGAGTGCTAGAAACTGAACCCGAGTCTTTTGTACAAGCAGGCTCTTAAGTGCTGAGCCTCCCTCCAGCCTCAAGACTGAAAAAAAAAAAAAAAAAAAAAAAAAAAAAAAAAAAAAAAAAAAAAAAACAAAAAAAAAAAAACCAACAAAACAACAAACCTGTTTGTCCCCAGTATACAGACTTTGCCCTCTTGTCTCTTTCTTAACAAATACAGAGTATACAGGTGGGGTGGCAGTGGAGCATGCTGTTAATTCCAGAACTCAGGAGGCAGAGGCAGGACAGATTTCGGAATTTGAGGCCAGCCTTGTATATAGAGTAAGTTCCAGGACAGCCAGTGGCTCCACAGAGAAAAAAACACCAGAATATATCAGCGGTCTTCCCCAGTGCTGGTCCCTGCGTGCTACACCAGTGTGCTCACTGGTATAGCAGTGGCGTTCCTGTTGTGGAGGTAACCAGCAGCTTAGTGACTGAACTTGAGGGCTGCTCCACAGGAGAGAATTCATGCCCAGGACTGTAAACTCGATGGGTACAGAGGCCCTAGTGGGGAACCTACTGTTGTTATCTTGCTAAGTGGCCATGCTGTCAAAATGCTTTCTAAAAGTTCCACAAAGTTCAGGACAGTCAGGGACCTGTTACTCAGAGAAACCCTGTCTCAAAAAAAAAAAAGTCTAATAGCTGCCCACAGAGTGCTTGCATTACATCTAAGTCATCTGGAGATGATCTGAAGTCCACAGAGGATGATTGTGGGTCCCATGAAAAGAATACACTGCTTTATAGATGGAGCCCAAATATATGTGATTTTGGTACCCTAGAGGGCCCCAGAATGACTTCCAAAGACATCCAAAGAACATTTACTGAGTACTTGCCTTTGGCTCGGCATCACTCAATACAGTTTATATGTATTCATTCATTTAAATCCGTACATTCTAGTCTACTGTTCATCCTATGAAAAAGACAGGGACCAGAGAGGTACAGGGGAACTGTAAAAACCACACAGCCAGGCAGTGATGGGCAGGAGTATTCAGAGTCTCTGCATCTCAGTATCGGGTTCTGCTCATGGCGTGACTGACAGTCAACATTTAGAGACTTTCAGAAACTCCCCCTGGAGGGCTGGGTCTGGTCTAGCAGAGTGCTTGCCTGTGTGAGCAAAGCCCTGCATTCCATTCTCAACACCAGCTAAAACCTGATGTCATGAGTCCACGCCTGCAATCCCAGCACTTGGGAGGTAGGCGCAGGAAGACCAGGAGTTCAAAGCCAGCCTGGGACACATGAGAGCCTATCTTAGAACAGCAGAAAACCCACCCCCTGGAACATGTTAGGGATGCCCATTTGTCGTCATCATCTGCCTCCTTCAATACGGCAACAGCAGAGTCAATACAAGGACAGCATTCCTCTTCACACCTTCGGTTGCTGCTTATCTAACTCTTAAGGGACTCTGGGTCCTACTGTCCCATCACTGACCCTTTGCCCCTCTCTCATCACTGTCTGGCAAACTGGCTGTTTCCTGATTGACCACAGAACTTTAGCATATACTGTTCTTGCCTGAAACTTCTCTCCAACTGCTCTTCTTGTAGGTCTGATCCGTCTTGGTCACATTTCTCTGAGTGTCTATGCTATCGTTTTAATGTGTCTGCCCCTTCTGCCTAACTCATCTGCTGGGAAACTCAATCCTTAAATTTGTCTGATGATGATGGTTTTTGGAGGAGATCTGGGAGGTAACTGGGACCAGATAAGGCCACAAGGGCAGGGATCCCATGGTGGCATTAGTGGCATTATAACACGAAGAAGAGACTGCAGCTGGCATGACAGCTCTGGGTCACCATGGGAGGCCCTCATCATGTCTGGATGCAATAAGGAGCCCTCGGAGTGGCTGGCATTGTGCTCTACCACTCTGTGGTCACCAGAACGAGAAGCTGGATAAACTTCCCCTTTATATAAATAACCTGACCTCAGGTATTTGGTTATAGCAATGGAAATGGATGAAACCAACCAGTCTGGGCTAAAATACAGCTGAGCTTCTCACACGCCCACTGACCAGAGGAAAACACTCAGGAGAGAAAAGTCTAGGGAAAGAATGACTCAGAACGGCGGTGTTTACGGGAGGGCTGTGGAAACAGATGCGGTGATGAAACTGAGGGGTGCTGTGGACACTGAGAGTAGGAAGTCAGGGTGCGAGTCAGTCCCCAGACCAGGAAGAGTCAGCTCTCCTGTTTCTCCTCATCTCAACCCTCTCATTTTTCTCTCTCTTTGAGACATGATTTCTGTGTGTAGCCCAAGCCTGCCTGGAATTTGTGCACCCCTGCCTCAGCTTCACAAGTGCATGGACAACAAGAATGGGTGCCCTGCCAACCTGGTAGTGATTTTTGTCTGCAGACCCTTGTCTAAACTCTCATTCCCTTGAGAATCCCGGTGTGTGGGGAGAATTGTCGGTGTGTGGTCCTGGAACCTGCACTGGGCTGCCCTTGCTGGGAACAGAGTCTCATGGCTTGACTGAAGCTGGAGTCCCCAGTCACAAGCTGTGCTGCACAGGCTGGTCAGATGCCTGGCACCTTGGAACCCACATGGCAGAGGGAGAAAGCTGACTCTAGTACTTTGTACAAATGCCTCTTTTCCACAGGCCTGGGCCAGATTTTGTACATACTTCAAGAAACCAGTTTTCTGCTCTCATACTGATATAAAGGTGGATCAAGAGGACATTAAATTATTATTATTATTATTATTATTATTATTATTATTATTATTTTGAGGCAAGTTCTCATGTAGTCAAGGCTGGCCCTGAAGTCCGTATCCTCCTGTCCCCCCTCCCAAGTACTGGGATCATAGGACTGACACCACAGCTGGCTTTAGGACAGTATTTTATAGCTGGCAGATGGACGTCTCTATCAACACAGAAGTCCCTGGGCCTCTCCGTGGAGAATCACTTCAGGATCTCTGTGAAGCACTGCAAAATGTTATGAAAAGGACAAGAAAAAGCCGCTACTGGTGGGGTACTGTCACTGAAGAGGCCTTTCTTTACGTCTGAGGGATCGGAGTGGCTCGTCTGACAACCCCCCCCCCCAAAAAAAAAAAAAAAAAAAAAAAAAAGGACACCATCAAGTAAGCAAAGGACTGGCAAAACGGCAGCTTCACTCACTAGTTCCCATGCGAGCCTTGGCAGAGCTGAGTTACTGAATTCTAGTAATGACTGGGTCATTTCTGGAGAGTCCAATTTACAGGTGAGAACACCGATGCCAGGAATACAGTAGCTCAAGAGTAGGCAGCAAGCACTGAAAAGCTGTGTGAATCTGGTGGAGACTACGGCTTTCCCTAGGGCCTGTGTAAGATGCACGAGGCGTTAGTCCTCCAGCCACTCAGAATGCCGGATGGCATGGCTTTTTAAGAACGGAACGCTGAGGTGGGATGTAGTTCCCTGCCTAGACTTCTGCAGGAAAGGGCTGAGGGCATGGCTCAGCACTAGAGGCCTGCCTGGCGCCTCGAGTGAGGAGCCGGGGTGTGGCTCGGTGACAGAAAGTTAACCTGGAATTCCCCAGTGAGAGGCTGGCTCTGCTGGAGTGCCAGTCTAAAATCCCCCGGGGGGAGGGGGCGTAAGCTCTCTTGTCGATTCTTGCTGAGAACACAAGGTCCTGGGTCCATCCCAGCACTGAACTCATCTGTTTGCCCATCTGCTGGCCCGGGCACTTCCTCCCGGAGCATGCTGGGTCTGAAGACCGAACCCCTAGCTACTGGGGAGAACTCCTCGGTCCGCAGTGAGCTGGGGGTCCACCGGGGCACCCAGCTCCCTCCCGGAGCCCACTCACTTCCTGCGCCGATGCCGGCGCTCCCTGTCGTCGTGGGCGGGCGGCCCGTGTCGGTGTCGCCGCTTGCGTTCTCCATCCTCGCCGTCGCCGTCCGCAGCGCGGGCCGGCCTGGCGGCGTCGCGGGGGCGCTGCCTGCGCTCCGGCCTGTCGTCCGGTTCGTCCCCCGGCCGGCGCCGCGCGCGGTGCCGGC